TATTTTAATTTATTTTATCCTACCAAATTAAGAAAAATATTTAATCAATTCCAATATACCTTCCCATTTAGGTACACACTCATAGGGTACATTCATTGCCGCTGATATCAGCGGGTTAGATAATAGGTAACAATATTGAGTGCTGAACCATCAAACAAGCAACAACAACAAAAACAACAGATACGGCAATCAAGTGATCATCAAAGTCTACATCGATTTCCAATAAACATATATGGCGGGCTTTTGTTGTTGAGCGAGAGATGGAGAGAGGCGGAGAGAGAGAGCCATAGAGATAGAATCGATTTCATGGTCAATTTACATGCACCTCAACGCAATATATTTTCAAAAGATCACCTGGAATTGTGTCATCAGTTGTATAGTACAACAATAGCTATTTGAAAACTATTTAAACAATTCAAATTCAAAACTCTTTAGAGTGAATGTTTTGTTTTATATATTCCCCAAATTTCTTTTACTTTCTCAAAGTAAATTTTCATTTTCATACATTGAAGTTGGGTATAAATTCACTCCAAATTCATTTGTAATTACAAATTGTTTTATAAACACATCAGTGTGTGTACCAACATGTGTTTGATTATTTTGTTTGTTTGTTGTTGTGCTTACCATTAACTGGGTCAATTGCTTAAGCGATAGTACAAAGAGCAAATATCAGCAATTTTTAATTACACAAACACTGAAAGTTGTCTAGAAAGGTAAATATTTGAAATGTTTTTCTAAAATTTCCACAATGACGGTTTCAGGTTCCCATTCCATTTCATAATTCTTATGATACCCTACACCACTTTGCTAATTTAGTAGAGCTGCACATAACAATTAAAAGTTTTTTATGGGAGAATTCAATCATACACGCTATGATTATAATTATAATTATATATTTATGGGAGCTATAGCCAAATCTGAACCGATCTTGATAAAATTTGGCAAAGATATTTCTGAGCTGTATTTCATATATTTCCCTGTATATCATTGTTACGGAGTGCTTATTACGGCTGTGGGTAACAAATATAACAAATCGGATGAAGAATATATATAGGAGCTATAGCTATATCTGAACCGCTCTTCACCAAATTTTTCATACTACCTTCTAGACTCAATTCGGTCGTAAGTGCCAAATTTCATCCCAATTGGGCAAATATTAGATGTTTGGTGCACAATAAAAGTAAATCGGACGAAGTTATATATGGGAGATATATCCAAATACGAAGCGATCTCGATAAAATTTAGCAAAGGTATTTCTGAGCTGTATTTGATATATTTCCCCAAATATTCTTGTTACAGAGTGCATATTACGGCTGCGGAGGACGAAAATAACAAATCGGATGAACAATATATACTGGAGCTATAGCTGTATCTGAACCAATTTGATCAAATTTGGCATACTTATTTTCAGTCCTAATTTGGTTGTATGTGCAAAATTCCATACATACACAATAAAAGGCAAATCGGACGAAGATATATATGGGAGCTTGATCTAAATTTTAACCGATTATCTCCAATTTCAATAGGGTTCGTCCTTGGACCAAACAAATGATTTGTGCAAAATTTCATATGGATGGGGTAATAAATGCGAACTGTACTTTGTTCACAAAAATACATGGACAGACGGACGAACAGACGGACGGACGGACATGCATAAATCGACTCAGAATATGATTCTATGCAGATCATCAAAAGGAACTATGGGTCTATCTCTAATACCCTGACCAACTTGTGGTGTAAGGCATAAAAAAGTATCAGTCGGTTTTGACGACAGTTGTAAACCCTCAGCCTTGAGATATAATTATTTAAACTGTTGGCCCCTTATGGGGGAGGTTCCGAAGCAGTTGGTCAATATTCGTATCTGACCTAAGACAAATATAAGTATTACAACGTGCCAGATTTGGGCTTTATTGACTACTTCTTATACTTTATGTGAGATATTATTTCGCATTTTATGATCGTTTCGGTTGTTCAAAACTTTGACCCTTTGTGGGATATATCAGATCTTGTGTTTATGGAAATATAGAGATGTGGCTAGTCTGAATGGAATCGGATGTAAATTTCGTGTTTTATGAGCTTTATGAATATTCAAAAAGTTGACTGTTTGTGGGAGATGTACCAAAAGGAGTGAATCGATATATTCCATCTTCACACCAGACCTTGGGCTAATAAAAGTATTGTGATCTGTGTAACTTGGAGACAATTGAGCTATTACATCACATTTTATAAGAGTTATAATTTTTCAAAGCTTTGAACATTTGTGGGGCAGGTACTTGATGGAGTGGACCGATATTGTCTATTTTCGCACCTGAACTTGCACTAATGTAAATATTAGGCTTTGCAAAGTTGGAGCAAAATCGGATTATCTTTTCTCTTTCTGTGCAGGAAATTATTTTCTTTGAAAATGTTGACATTTTGTGGGGGAGATATCAGATGAAGTGGTTCGATATTGTCCATCTCCGAACTCGATGTAGTTTTGATAATAATATTATGATGTACCAAGTTTGGACCAAATCGGATACTCCCTTCAAGAGTTATCGTGCGCACCGGCCAGCCGACAGAAAGATGAACATCGCTAGATCGACTCCAAATGTCCTGAAACGGATTTGGTCCAAAGAGACCTAGGGTGTGAAACCTTTCATTCGATGAGGCACGTTTTGGCCATATCAAATAATTTCTACCCTCTCTAGTCATTTGACTGAGTGTATAAAAATATATATTGGAGCAATTGATGTATGGGAAACAAGCTTCACACAGGAAGGAAAAATGCGGTTGAATGTACAAAAACCCTCTCCATTTGTTCCGATATTAGTTATTTGGAGCATAACTGTTGTGAAATAGGGTGAATATGTATATCGCAGCCATATCCAAATCTGAAACGATCTGGCTAAAATTTGGCAGAGGTATTCCTGAGTTAAAACTGATGTCTGATACCACTCATCACTGTTTTGGAGTGCATATTACGATAGTGAGTGACTTAAACACCAAATCAGTTGAAACATATACATGGGAGCTATACCTATATCTCAAGCGATTTTCCCCAAATTTAAAGTACTTGCTGAGTTCGGCCGTATTTGCCAATTTCTAATCCATTTGGGGTGATATTAACCATTTGGTGCACAATAAAGGTCAAATCGAACAAGGATATATATGGGAGCTATGTATATCTAAATAAAATTTGGCAAAGGTACTTCTGGGCTTTATCTGATATCTGATACCGAATATCATTGTTTTGGAGTGCATATTGCAAATGTGAGGGGCCTAAACACCAAACGGATTAAACATATGTATGTGAGCTATAGCTATATCTCAACATATTTTCATTAAATTTGAAGTACTTGATTCTAGGCTGAGTTTGGTCGTATTTGCCAAATTCCATCCTTTTTGAACTTATATCATACATATGTCGCACAACCAAATTAAAATCGGACGAAGATATATTTTAGAGCTATATTTAAATTTGGACAGATTCTCACAAATTTGAATAGGGTTCCTACTTGGAGCAAACAAATGTTTTATAGAAAATAGCAACCTGACAATAAATATGACCTGTACTTTGTTTACCAAAATATATGAGCAGACCGAACCGGAAAATACATTGGCAGCTTCAAATGTGTTTCTTTGAAGATCGTAAAAAGGGATTATAAGTCTATCTCCCTTCATTTTGCCTGTTCCAAATGCAAAAAGATGCAATTCCCTGTACCGCAGTGTGGCGTAGGGTATAACAATGACAGAAAAATAACCGCTTCGGATGGGGCCCTGGTCCCTAAAGACTTAATACGTATACCTCGACATTTTCAGTTTTAAAAAGTTTGTTTCAAGATTTGATGTCCTTTCATGTTCTAAGTGGACAGAAAAAATTCTTGCCAAAACTTATCGACATGGTCCCACGATTTTGTAAAGACTGTTTAGAACCATTTTCGGATATATCGAAGCCGTTTGAAGGCCATAATTCGTGCCAAAGATGACCAATTCGATCAAATTTAAACTTATTCTAAAATTTGATGCTATTTCCGAAAATGTAAAAAATGTAAAAAATTATGGCGTTTGACTTTGTTGCAGTTTTTTATCTCACCCTGTAGGTATATATCGTAAAGCAATAAAGGTTTAGACCAAGTACAAACAGAATATAAAATACATTTATGACACATTTTTGCTCTATCCAATTATCGGATAGTTGAAACCGCTCTGTTTTAAATACAAGCTTTCAAGAAAATCTTTCAATGTTCAAAACTGCAATTATGAACTCTATTCAATATCTGGAACGTTGGACAATTGCGAGTAGAAAATAAAACCCAAGATTTATCTGACTTCTTCTCGAAGTGTTCGTATCTAGTGCTACCTGTGGATTAAGACTTTTTTCCAATAGCTTTTTTTATCACCCTATTCGATGTATTCTATTTATGACTATTTCAAAACATGGCAAAAGACAATTCTATATGGGAATTCAAGTGTGAAGAACAACGATGATTCATTTTGAAATGACAAGTATTTAAAACACAAAGTGCAAAGTATTTCACTTACAATCCACAGGTGCTAATTGTGCATGACAAGCGAAAAGCCCATCTTACAAATCAGTTTTTATTACAAAAATAGAATTTAGAAAAAAAAATAAAATTTTAAAAACAAAATTCCCATTCGAATTAAATAAGCATGATATATTCCTAGGATTCAATCAAATTTAAATTTAAAAAAATTAAAAATATGAAAATAAATCATTAGGAAGGGCACTTCTCTTTGGCCCTCTCATAAAGCCAAAAAAGTTGGAGACATGACAAATTTAAGAATGCCCTCAGATAGGTTTTATTTTTGTATTTTAAGATATTTTTTATTTACTACAGCTATTTAAGCCCTGGATAAGACCAACAGCTTTCAATATAGGTGCGTTATATTTCAAGTCAATCTATGAAAAATCTTTAAACAACAATATCATCACATTTTTCTAAAATTGCCACTCTTCACTCGTCCCTCCCTTAAATTAATCAATTTTCTAAACTTACCCTTAACCATGGGCTCCGAAACCATTGTCATCTCTTCTTGTGGTATCATCTCGATCAGCTTGGCAATATCCTTGGCCAACATATTATCAACAATGTCCAAAAGGTGGGGTTTCAACGAATGGAATTTGGTAAAGTCTTGATGTTGCAGAACCTCCTGCATCTTCTTAATGTCGGGGAAGTCACCAGGTGAAATCGAATGTTCACGTTGAATACGATCGTAGACTTGACCCAAATTCTTAATCAAATCTTTCTTTTTGCTATCCTTGCCGAAAACGGATGGCATATCCTTGCGCAGCTCCGAAATAATGAAGGCATGTACCTTGGCGAGGCGGGCACGTTTAATCAAATCGTTAAGTTTACGCAAGGCAGCATTGCGTGGCAGTGACTGCAAGTCGCGGAAGAGATCCTGCTCTTCATCTTCAAATAGGCGACGATTGGCATCGAAACGCAAAGGTTGATCCCAGAACGAACCGATGTAGACACGGGCCACCTCAGGTGTTTGCAATACCTTGCCCAAAGACCACATAAGAGCACCATAGACACGCATCAGCTGTTGGTGGTCAACCATATCGGCCTTGTTGAGGATAATGCGAATCTTGTCGTCATGACCCTTCAGAGCCTCAATGGAACGGCGGAATTCATCGGAAATATCCAATTTGTGGGCATCGAACAACAGAATAATACGATCTACACGTTCGGCAAACCATTCCAAGACACCAGTGAAATCGTAGCCACGGTCAATGCGTTGCTTCTCACCCGACAAAATACCGGGGGTATCAACAATGGAAATGGCCTGCAATACTGGCGAATTGACCGATGAGCATTGGAAACGATTGAGGAAGGCATTGCCGTATTTGCTCAGGGGACGGAATTGTTTTTTGGGATCAACTACCAAGGCATTACCGGGGATAACACCCTCCTTGTCGTCGTGCATGACAGCAATAAAGCGGTCGGTGGTGGGTTCGGGGCCAATGCGAATACCAGGGAAATCACGTTCCAACAAGTAACGAATGAAAGTGGTTTTACCTGTTGAGTATTGGCCAACCAACAGAATCATGGGCTTGGCATCGAAATCAGGATCCTCCAGTTTGGGTGAGTGGAAGTCATGGAACTGGTAATGCTCCTCCAGGGGCAGCAATTTGCTTTTGTAGATCTTCTTCAGCTCGCCAATGACATTCTCCACCACCTCTTGGTTGTTCTTTTCACGTTTCAAAAAACTAAACATTTTGCAATATCTGTCTTCTTATCTTCCTTGCTTCCGAACACACACAATAAATAACTTCTCAAGAATTTTCAAATTTTTTCGTTGACTTGATTTTTTTTTTTCTGATAGCGCTGAACTTTTTTGTACCGCCCCAAAATTAAACACTGATATTAGTGCTTTAGTGCTGTTTAGTTGTTTGTTTTATGATTCACGGCAGGCTGGCAAAGCCGAACGATAACTTATTTTTGGAAAAATTCCGTCACTTCTTTTTTATGCTTTTCTGATTTTTCCTCTTTTTCTACACACACAGCACCATCAGCTCGCGCACATCAAGTTTTTCACAAAACTAATTTTGATGCTTTGAGAAAAAATAAAACGAAAAATTTTGATAAATCAAAAGTTATGCCAAATGGGATGGGTATGGTATTTTCTAGTTAGCAAAATATAATTCTGATTGGTCTTAAAAATTGTTGGAAATAAGAACACTACCGACCCCGACGACACGTACAACTCTGGTAGAAAAAATGACCACAATCAAACGTCATACGTCATTGCGATTTTGACAGTTGCGAAGGTGAACATTTATATCGACGCAAACGAAACAGCTGATCGTAAATGGTGTTATCGACACCGGCACAAGGTATAGGGCCACAATATGAATTTCAAAATATGAAAGGTATGAAATATACGTTTCCCATCAAGGAAAATATATATAAAATAAACATTCCGAATAAACATTCAGGATAAAAAATCCATTGTTGTTTTATCAATGACATAAAAAAAGCGCATAACGTTTCACTCAACAAAAAAAATAGATTGGAAAAAGCGATTAAATTTTGGTCAGAAAAAAATAAAGAATAACAAATTTCACCGAATAAAGAAAATTGGCAGAATTTCCAGCTTCCTATTGACCAATACTTTGATCTTTTTATCAATTTTCTGGGCGAAAAATATATCTATTCCAAAACCTGCTATCATTAGGGGAAACGGTCGTCGTAGTTTTTTTTTTTTTGCATTCTAGCAGATTTATTTAAATCTATGCTGTATTCCAAAACAATAGAAGAAAAATGGTTCATAGAGGAGGAGCACGAGCAACGGTATCCTATTAGCATTGGCCGTTGTATAAACTTTATTATCTACTCATGTATACAATAATTTACACATGCATAAAAATTGTATTAGGTAACGATATATTTGACACAATACAAACCTTAAATGTCATAAGAACCTGATAACTTGGCCATATGCTGGGCCAATTGTTTTCTTTACAATCTGACATGACGAAAATGCTAAAAATGTTTGTTATTACAAACAAATATTGTAGAAAAAATAAAAAATTAAAGAAAAAATAAAATGATGAAACGTTGTAAGGTAAGAAGATTGTATAAAAATACATAACTTAATTTTTGGTTTTTTTCAAACAAAGAAACAAGGCTATTGATAGAAAATGGCACTATCGACATAAACCGGCAGTTGTGAGAACAACATACGACATTATCGATTATATACTCACGTTGTTATCGACAATTTACATTTGTTCATATTGGCTCTTGCCCGTTCATTCACAATAGTAATTTACCTGTCAAGCAAATATTAAATTTGGAATATTGTTTGCTGATATTTGTTATTAATAATAAGATTTAAATTTTATGAACTCTTGAAAGTCGAGAATAGTTTGTTCGATATATGGAAAAAGAAGGCATCTTGGCAACAAGCAGAAGTAGAACCCATAAAAATTCGAAGGTAAGTGGCACATCAATTCTATTGTCCATTGGGATATTTTATAGACTATTCCAAGAAATATAATGAAAATAGTTGTATGGTTATTCCGCCACATCAAGAAGTTACATCGCTACATCGGAGCTGCTGAGTAAGGATAAGGTAAGGATAGACATGACTTGGAAATAACTCTAGTTTAGAAGAAGTAAACAAATGCTATAATCCTGCGGGGCCGACCACTTGATACCCTACAACACGACAATATATCGCAATTTTTTTTTAAATGCCATACAAACGTTGCCTTTGGTTTTGAACGGGGCATTGGCCCCTGTCATTAAAGTTGTGATCCATTTTTTCCGCTAAATATGATCCAAAAACTCTCTCCTCGTGCAAAATTCTGTTTCGATTGATTTTTAATTGCCACCCGAAATATTTCTTTCCATTTCAAACCCTCAATTTTTGCGATAATCATCAAAAACAATAAGGTTCTATTCCGACCCTAACCCCACCACCAACAACACATTGTGTTGTAGGGTGTAAAGTTGTAAGTTCGGCCGGGCCGAACATTGAATACCCTCCACAATTTGGAACGAATTTGGCAATTTTTAAAAATATAAAATCCTGTTGCAAAACTTTCATTATTCTTGTTATTATAAAAACAAAGTTTGCTTATTAGTTGAGAACTATGTCAATGTTTACCAGGGGGTAAAAATAAAATTCGTTAAAAATTCAGTCAAAATCTTAAAAATACCGAATGTAGCCGTTATATTAAGGCCTATATGACGACGTGGACTTTTGTCATAAGCCATTACAACATTCGGTGAATCGGAATCGAATGAAATCGGTAAATAATGTAGCTAAAATCATCAAAATACCAAATATCGGGAGGTGCCATTATATGAGGCCTTTACGAAGGCGTAGACCTGCACGGACAATTTTCTGACTTAGGCTGTACAACATTTGAAACATTTCCGGTGAATAATGTCGTTAAAATCATCAAAATACCGAATATCGGAAGGTACCGTTATATTGGGGCTATACGAAGATGTGGACCTGAACAAACAATTTTTTGCCTTATGCTGTAGTATCCATTACAAACTTAAAATACCAAATTTGAAATAATTCCGGGGAATAATTTCGTTTAAATCGCGAGAATACCTAAAATAGGAAGGTGCCATTTTATAGGGGCTATAACAAAACGTGGACCTACATGGCTTATTTTCAATACCTACTACTTTCAACAAAGTAAAATTGTATCAACCTTCTTCATTTAGTTCGGAAGCTGGAGTGATTTAACAGACGGACGGACATCGCTATATCAACATAGAATTTTATGTTGATCAAGAATATATATACTTTGTGAGGTCTATAATGAATATTTCGAGGTGTTACAAACGAAATGGCAAATATATATTATGGTGGAGGGTATAATAAAAAATAAAATTTTTCTGAAGGATTAAGCATAGCTGATATGAAGCCGTGTTGGATATATATGTAACTGAAAAGTACTATCATATATGAGATTCTTGCCTTGCCTATTAATCTTCTGAAAAACATCATTCATCTGTTAGACGTGGGATGGTTACCCCCACAGATGTATCGAAAACAGCATCCTAACACTTGGAAAAGTGGATATATGACTAAGGATCAAAGATTACCATCCTGGAGATTTTGTTCATGTGCATCACTTTGTTAAACCCTCAAGAACGATTTCAAATTCATTAAAACTATTTTGCGAAATTTCGCAACGGGAACTACCTCTGTCAAATCACTAAAGATTACTCCTGATTTTGAAACAGTTAATAATTAAATATCTTGTTATGAACCCAGGAGACATTGCCACGGCGACTAACCAGACTTTAGACTTTCATTTCATTTCAGAAATGATGTAGCATTTCAAATGCTATCTTCTCAGACTGTTACAAAACTATCTCCATTTAAATCCCCTGACATACAAATAACATACACACATATTTATGTGTTATATAAAAGACTCAATTACGCGTTGGAACATGATTTAAATAGGTCAGCTAAGTCATTACCAAGGATTTAGTTCTCTTTTGTTTTGTTTCCATAAGCATTGGCCTTCTGTCATGTGCTTTACAGAAAATGTATCCGTCTTGATTTCCAACATCATGGCCTCCAACTAATACCTTGGGTAAAGTATTACTTACTCTCTATAAATACATACTTATGTGTGATGGTATGTATGTACCTACTGTTGCTCATCCTTTTTTTCTAACGCAGATGATGAGAGCATGAGGAGAGCGAGAGGAAATAAAACAAATAGGAATTAGTCATGATTACTTTCGAAACTGTCATGATGCGAAGCTAAACAAAAGAAGATACTGAAAACAAGCAACGCAACATGATTTGAAATTATGTCAGCATATACAAACATGGTTACATATATACATGTTAGTAAATAAATTACATATTGTACTTGGTGCCTTACATGTGGATTCATATGTATGTTGGTATATGCTTTTATATTTGTTTGTATGTATCCAATGTACAACAACCACGTTCATTTCATTCAGTTTCAATGTCAACAAGGAATCTTTACGCTAAGCATGGATACCACCATGGACAATGGGAAGAGAGAGGGAGAGTACAGTAGCTCGCTCAGTTAACTGTGAAATGGAGCAAAACGATGAATGAAGACGCCCACTAAAAGTATCCATAGCATCCACTATCAAATTGTGTGTATGTGCAGCTTTTTACGCAGAACCACAGCAAGAAAAAAGGGATGCTTATTTAACACATGACAATGGTAACAGGGATTGGAGCGGTGGGGAACAGTTTTAAAATTTGTTATTGATTCCAAATGTGAAACCAATAAATTACAAATGAAATAAAAATCTATTATTAACTAATCGAATGTAGAGGTGGTATGTAAAATAAGGGAAAACATTTGTGACAGGATCAAGGATAGCCCATTCCAAAAAGGTATATTTGTCTTGTTATCAAGATATAATTTGATACGGCCAAAACGTGTCTTATCGAAAAAACGGTTGTAGACCCCAGGTCTCTTTGAACCAAATCCGTTTCAGGATAGTGGAGTCGATCTAGAGATGTCCGTCCGTCTGTCTCTCTGGCTGGCTGGGGCGCACGATAACTCTCGAAGAGAGTATCCGATTTAATCCAAACTTGGTTCATCGTAATATTATATCGGTCCACTTCTTCTGGTACCTCCCCACAAAATGTCAACATTTTAAAAGAACATAATTTACTGCACAGAAGGAGAAAGGTTGATCCGATTTTGCTCCATCTTTGCAAATCCTAATATTTGCATCAGTGCTAGGTCAGGTGGACGAAAGTGGACAATATCGATCCACTCTATTAAGTACCTGCCCCACAGAGGGTCAAAATTTTAAATAACTATAACTTTTATAAAATGTGATGTGAGTGCCCGATTGTTTTCAAATTACACACATCACAATATATTTTTTAACCCAAGGTCTGACGTGAAGATGGAATATATCCATCCACTCATTCTGGTACCTCCCCCACAAAGGGTTAAAATTTTGAATATTCATGAAGCTCATAAAACACGAAATGAACATCCGATTCCATTCAGTCTTGGTACATCTCAATATTCCCATCAACACAAAATCTGTTCTAGAGATGGTAGAAATCGGACCATTCCTTCTGATACTTGCCCCACAAAGGGTCAAAGTTTGGAATAACCACAACGATCATTAAATCCGAAATAAGCATTCGGTTCCCTTCAAATTACACACATCAAAGTATTTTTATTAAACCAAGGTCTGGTGTGATGATGGATAATATCGGCCCACTCCTTCTAGTACCTCCGCCACAAAGGGTCAAAATTTTGAATATTCATGATGCTCATAAAACACGAAATTAATATCCGATTCCATTCAGATTTGGCACTTCTCAATATTTTCATAAACACTAGAGCTGTTATAAAGATGGTTGAAATCGGACCATTCCTTCTAAAGCCTCCCCACAAAGGACCAAAGTTTGAATAACCAAAACGATCATAAAATCCAAAATAAGATTCCGGTTCTCTTCAAATTACAATCATCAAAGCATTTTTATTAAACCAAGGTCTGTTGTGAGGATGGATAATATCGGCCCACTCCTTCTAGTACCTCCGCCACAAAGGGTCAAAATTTTGAATATTTATGAAGCTCCTAAAACGAGAAATTTACATCCGATTCAATTCAGATTTGGTACATTATAATAATATTTCCATCAACACAAGGTGTGCTATAAAGATGGAAGAGATCGAACAATTTCTTCTGGTACCTGCCCCACGTTTTGAAAAACAAAACGCTCAAAGAAAGCGAAATAAACATCCAACTCTCTTCAAATTTTATACATCCAAATATTTTTGCTAACACAATATCTGCCAACCCCTTCTGGTACCTCACCCACAAGGGGTCACAATTTCCAATATTTATATCTGTCATAACTTGCGAAACAAGTTGGCGATTCTTTACAACTTGCTATATCTAAATATTTCTATTAACCAAATATCTGATAGGGATATGTGGTTTATCGAAATTTATGATTTCGCATAAAACGGGATATAAATGTTCGGTTTCCTTCAAATTTTGCACAAACCAATATTTTTATCTTTATAAGATGAAGTATGAAGTTCAAATACTTCGGTCCGCTATAACTGTTACCTCCCGCATATTTCCACATTATCCAAAAATTTGCAAATATCTCATATAAAGTATAGGAAATAGTCGATATAGTCCAAATACGGCACGTTTCAATATTTATATTAGACCTAGGTCAGATACGAATTGGTCAATATTGGCCAACCGCTTCGGAACATTCCCCTTTAAGGGTCTACCGATTGAATAATCATAACTCAAGGCTGGGGGTATACATCTGTCGATAAAGCCGACTGATACTATTTTACTTGTTTTATTCCTTTTCAATAATATGGACTTTATTAATAGGATATTTTTAATCCTTCAGCCATTTCTTAATAAAACACTACCATTAAACGTATATGCGTATGTATATCCTTATATACTCACATACACATGTATATATATATACATTGTGAAATAGGGGGTTGTTTAAACACCAAAGAGCACGTGTTTTTAATAAAGAACAACAAACAGCCTGGAAGTGGTAGCTTTTAGGAAAGAAGAAAAAAAAAGGATTGAGGTCAACTTATCTGATGCAATATTCTTCTTGTGTTATGTTATTCTTTTTCTCCAGACATGGAACATTTTTATACACCTACATACAACATTTACGATATCGATCTGTGATAAAAGGAAACAAAAGAGAAAAAAAAAACAATAACCAAATCAATATGGACTATTAGGTTAGATGCTTACCTTTTCCAATGAAATTGCCAAGGCATCCAAGGCGTCCATCCATATCTTCTGTTACAATCTTGACTGTGTTCGGGGTAAATTGTTGTGCTAAATGACGACACATTTGGTAATATAAGTATACCCTACCTAGGATGGGTTAATATATAAATAGTTAATTTTTATATATTATTTTAGTGGAGATATCCTTAACAAATCTCTCTACTTTTGATTGTTGTTTTTAAATATAAATAATTTGAATTTTATAATCCACTTTACACACCGAGTATTCTGTATTTGTAAATGTGTTTATTAATTGCAAAATAAGTCAACATGGAACCATAATTAACGTTATCCTTCTATTTTCATTTTTTTGGCAGGTCCTTCGTTCCCACTTACAATTGTATTCAGATCTCAGGGAGCTTTGAACATTTTAGTGCTTCTAAAATGGACTCCCTTGAAAAAATTATAAAAATGGAATTTGTTGGTAAGTTTTAGACTAGTACCAAAAAAGTTTATAAAAGCTCCCTCTAATAAATTAAATGACTTGGATTCAAATCGGTTGAATAAGAATGACTTTTTCATGACTGTATGTGGAATGCTTTAAAAGAATGAGAGAAAGTATTTTTGGATTCTAAAAAAAGTGATTTTTTTTTTTTTGCTTGGTTAGGTCATATCAGTCCTATCACTCCCCCCAAAAGAGCTCTACCCAATTAGAACAGTGACTTATTAGACAAAGTCGGGAGGAAATGCGGTCATTGAGAGACACTATAACGCCTACATTTCTTCTCAAGGTATATAGATGTGAGTTTGATTTGGACTTGTGTAATGTAATCATCGAGCAAAGTATCCGACCTGATGGAACTCATCGTTAGGACAAGTATGGTAACAAAACATGAAAACACGTTTCCTACTGTGCTTTGATGGATCTTCACAGAAAATAAAGAAAGCAAATGTTGAAATTATCCACGGAACTTCGGCCAGGTATGCCAGGGTCATTCCCGACTTTGCTGGAATTGGAAATTAGAATAATTAGACATTTGTATTTGTAAATAATGCTCTCAAGGTAAATCTTGATACAAACAAGAAAGCACAGTCTACAGTCGGGCGGGCCCGAGTATGCGATATTCTAATATACAGGGTGAGATAAAAAAACTGCAACAAAGTCTAACGCCATAATGTCGGAAATAGCATCAAAATTTTAGAATAAGTTTAGATTTGCTCGAATTGGCCACCTTTGGCACGAATTATTACCTTCACAAACGGCCAATGAAATTGTCACACGCTGCCCGAATGTTGCTCTGCGGTATTTTGGCCTATTCTCGGCGAAGCACTTGCTTGAGGTGATCCACACTTTGGTATTTTTTAGTGCCAACCTTGCTTTCCAAAATACTATAGACGCAATAGTCCAACGAATTGGTATCCGGAAATTTTGGTGGCCATTGTGCGCTGGAAATGAAGAGAGGAACCTCATTTTGTAAGTATTTTTGGGTGACGCGTGCTGAGTCCTGTTGGAATGTCCAAGGTATGCGCCAAAAATATTTACGTACTCACGGTCGATTAATACGAGCGTAGAGCAACCATCGGCTCTTATGGCGGCCCACACCATCACCATGGCCGGCGCTTGAGTTCTGGTGGCTAACCGAAGGTGCACATTTTCAGCTGACCTCTTTGGCAAGTAAACACGATCATCATTTTGTTTACAAACTGCTGGACAACGAATGTTTTCTTATCGGTCGGCAAGTTCACCACTTTCGGCCCAGTGAAGCAACTCTTTAGCTCCTTTGAGTCTATTTTCTTTCGGTTGCGGTGTAAGTTCTTGAACTTTTTGGAATTTCAATGGCTTTACCCAGAGCGATTTTTTAAACTTTTAGAACCATTTCTGCTGATGTTGCTGTTTTCTTCCGCCCACTTCCGTAACTTCGGGGGACTACCATAAAAACTTCTATACGGTGGATTACTATGCGCTACCTTGAAAAGTATTGTACAAGGGGAACCCCTTGAAAACAGAAATGACCAATATAAAAAATGTTTTAGTTCAAGCACTGTTGCTATAAATTGGGCTTCTCATCCATTAAACAAGTGTTCTTCATAGTTTTGGCTAATAAATTTGAAATGTTATTCTTCAAGTTCAATTCATTACTCATCTCTTTTACTCCTATTTTCAATTGTTTCTGATGGAAAACATCCAATCTTCTCTTTTCGATTTAAACCGCATTTACCACCTAACTGCAATAAGGAATTTTATTCCCTTAACATTGAACTGTGAGATATAAGTACACATGTTTATATTTATGTTTTTTTCTAGTAATGTAAACGCATCACAATAAAACTATTGTTTTAATAATAATTGTTTGTTTTATTTTTAATATTATTTAATAAATATAACTGTGTTTAGTTGTCTTATGTTTTTTTGTTTTATTATTACTTTATTTGTTTTTTTTTTTTTTTTTTTGAAAATTACAATTATTATTGTTTTGAGTTCATTTGTGGTTTAAATCCCAAAAAATACCGTTATTCCATTATACCATAAATCATACACAATTTGTTTTTGTTTTGTGGTTTTTTTCTTTGTTTGTTTGCTTTTACTTCTTGTCTTTTTGTTTTTGCATTTTGTTATTCATGTTGTAGTTAGTAATTCTATGCGGAGTATATTGTTTTCTTTATTATTGTTGTTGTATAGGCTTAATAAGGATTAAGGATATACCTTCTTAGCGAAACTCTGTTAATATAATATCTTTGTTTTTCCATACATTAGTCCAAACGTTGTTGTTCTTTTTCATTAGGTTATCGGTTTTGTTGTTCTTGTTGTGGTTTTTTTTATTTTATAAATATTATTGTTTTTGTTTGTTAATTTATTTAATTGGTTTTCAATAGATATTATATAAGTAGTTTAATAGGTGTATAATATATAATAATGTTGTATAATTAATATTCCAACATGAGACAGTTTGGTTTTTACTTTTGTTTTCAGAATTATTATTGTTGTTGTTGTTGTTTTTCTAGGGAGATGGGGGGAAGATAGTAGGCGCAGGAGGAGGAGGAGGAAGAGGAATTAGACATTGGTATTGTGTCTTGTTAATATTTTATTGGTTAATTATATGTTTCGTTTTGCTTTTACTTTTCTTCAATAAGTTATAATAAATAAGGTATTGTTTTAGGTGTTATATGTTGTTGTTGTTTTTTTCTTCTTCATAATCATTTTCATGTTTACCTAGGAGCCTTTTTTATTGACCATTTTGTCATTTGTCTATTTGGGTTAACCTAAAAAAACTCACTAAAGAGTTTGTTGTTTTTGTTTGTATTGTTTTTCTTTAATCATAATAATAAATATAATTTTTTATTGTTTGTTTTTGTTTTTCTGTTTTATTTATTAATAAATATACATGTATATAATTTTAGATTATTATTAATAATTAATTTGTTTTTCTCTTTTAATTTAAATTGTTTAGCCTTAAAAATTTCATATATTGTATAATTTAATATAATTATAATAATAATACATAATAATAAATAACAAAATAAACAACACACATTTATAGTAATATAATAAAGGTAGAGAGAAATAGAGAATTTGGAATACAGAAGAATTGTGGAGGATCATAGAATTTTGATTTAATTTGTATTTTTTTTTATTATTATTATTTATTGTTTCTATTATAAAAAATATTCATACATTCAATATTTTGCCTTGTAAACAAGCAGTTACCAGGTAAGGGTGGACGTGTGATAGTATGGTTAATAAGCTATGTATATTTGTATATATCTTAGGTATGTCTTACAAATTAAAAAAGTTTTACTTTTATGATTGGTAACAAAAATTAATAATAATAAACAAAAATATATTTTAAATAAGCAATATTGTTTCTAATTTCTATGTGGTGTGTATGGCAATAGTGGGCCTAATGATGGAATCTGAAAATGAAAGAAATAAAAAATAGTGGAAAATAAATTAATATAAAAATTTGCATTAAGGGGATTTTATAAATAAATTATGTTTAAAAGAGAAAAAACTTCAAAGTATAAAAGAATCAGAAAAGAAGACAAAAGGTGTTTTTAAATGGAACATATGTTGTACTAAATTAAATTTGTTAAGCTCACCAATCAGACCAATCAGATAATTTTCCAATGTTTACCTTCCATGAAAAGACAATGTTTTAAATATCAAACTTGATCATTTCGGGTAAGACCTGGCCGGTAAATAAAAATTTCTTATAAATCAATAGGTCCCAAAAGACTATGTTTTGCAATTATGGCAAAAAGATTTGTGAACGGAATTTATAAAATATTCTAAATATTGTATTTTTCCAGTCATTCTGGAAGATCACACATACCGATTCAGTGAAAAAAGCCAAATCGACATCTGTGAAATTAGGTTAAACACTTTGTTGTTTAAGCCTCTGTTCATTTTCATTGAAAACAAAAAAAATCTGCTACCGATCCGGGCAAGTATGGCTATACTTCTGACTTCGGGAAGCATAGCTGGTTGCTATCCGATGCGTACACAGGACGTGGATAGTTGAAAGCCCAGTAGATATATTGGGTTCCTGAAATTTGAATAAGCAGTCGTGGTCAGTCAGCGGGCAAAAATCTCGGCTTAAACACCAGAGTGCCAATGATTCTTAGAGTGACAAGGCTATGTCTGGCCGCCTCTAAAATAGTCAAACCTCTGTGCTGGCCTCAAATAAAGAGACCCCTAATGCTGGTTGTTATGCGACTACGTTTCCGCCAGTGTTACAGTGTTTGCAGTCTGTATGCCCGTAGACTTCTGAGAAGGTCCCTGTCTGACGAGGAGGGATTGGCCCCAAAGAAATTCGACCTGCGGCCCCACACTAATTTGTCCGCAAATACCAACAATCTACCGTGGAATTGTTGTTGTTAAAGCATAGGGAATTGAGGTAGAAGCAGGACAGAGCGGCGTTGTCATTGAGTTCTCCAGACACCAAAAACGCGAAAGAGCTTCCGATAAGCAGGATTCCCGAAGGTAAGGAAAGGCTTACATGATCTTGAGAGAGATGTACAGAGGAATAAGAGAGAGCCCCTGCTTGATAGGTCTGGTGATCTACTATCAAGCAGGACTAATTGTTATTCACTCTGACGCGGTCCCAGATGCCATGGAGGAAAGTAAATTGAATACCATACTCAGAGATCATTCCCCTCCCATCGAGAACTGCCCCGACAAGCTCGAGTGGTTTGTCACAATTAGGATCCGGATGGTGCAGCCACGTTAATTCGTATTGGATACGGATTGACAGCATATGGCACAGGCCCACATGACACACAATGTATATCTCTTCACTGCCCAGACAAACAATGCTCCGGTATCGCTACGTACCCAACTTATACAGGTTGCGTTCTTCAGAAGCAAAACTCGGTTGACAAGAAACAGAACGGACACAGAAGTAGGAACTGCTGCAAAAGTAACAAAAACCTCCAAAGCAAGGGAAAAAGAGACAAATGAACCGCAGGCCTTAAAACCGGCTCAGTCGAAGCTATATCTGTTGATGCATTAACAAAACACGTTATAACGGAAAAGGTCAGGTCAACTACAAAGAACGCTACAGTGAGCCGGCATAAGACCGTCTTGTTTGCGAGATGCTAATTTCGCCGAAGGAAGCAGCCTCGAGGGCCCCTAAACCCACTGCGGTCAACTGAGCAACTCAAAGCAAATTGTGACTACACAGACGGTATATCAGGCCGTCGTTTCGTATGCTTCGGTGGCGGCAAAGAAGGATAGATAGATGTGAAGATCGAAAGACGATCCTGTCGGTAATGATTCGAAAAAAAAAACTTTGCGACCCACGATTTGCTCTAACGACACAGATCCCATTATCATTTACAAGTTTGCTACAAGCATTCCACTGGCTAGGCAGACCACCCTGTTAACTACATTTCATTCTATAAACTCTTTCTTCTAATTTTCGCTTCTTTATTTCTCCTATCGCCAAAAACTTTATTCTTCCGGGTGAAGAAGTTGTCGTCTCCCGTGTAGCTGCACATACTTGAACCAATCAATACCATCTCTATATTTGTTACGACTACTAACTGAAATATCAGAGAATATTAAAGAAGAGAGGTAATGGTAACTACATATCAGCACATGTGAATTTCGAGCAATTAATAACTGTATTTGCGATACCAACCCGTTAACGTTGTAACAATTTATACTCATGGATGTAATATGGAGGATGGTACTCCCATTCTTTGCAATTTCTCTATCATTCCTCCAGCCAGGGAAGATAATCAATATAAAATATTATTGTGGGTAACTGCAACCTCCGAGAAAAGGAGAAAATAAACGAATATGCAGTTCTCAAGCAAACATCATAGGCATTTGAGGGTGTGTTTGTCAAAATGTTGTACTTTTTTGTATAAAGGTAAAGGAATGTACCAAAAACAATATTTATAAATATAGATATATAGGCAAAGGAATCTACCAAAAACAATATCTATAAATATATTTTAATGCTACAATTAAAATTTATTTATAAAATGTAGGCGATACAGTAAGTCCCAACTTGTTAAATATATAAAACATAACGACACAATTATTTTAAATAGAACACAGTGCTACGGAACTTAGATGAACAAGAAAAACGATGTTGTATTGGAGAAAACACGAACTTTAACGTCTTCTGTGTTGGCAGTAGACAAAATCTTTGGGAATAAAATTATATAAAACTGGGCAGTCTACATATATGAAAAATCTACGGGATATAATCTTTAAAGCTTCTTCGATACACGTCAAAAGCACATTCATTAGATTTCAAAAATAATTTATACGCAATGGGTTCACTTTATGTCAAGGCCCATATAAGGTCGACCAACAAACCTTACTAAGTTTGCTGTTAAAACACAAAATTGTGATTTGAAAATTAAAGAAAGACAAATCACAATAGAGCCAAAGCCACTAAGTTTATTGACAAACTGTTGTCCGATCTTATACAGTAGGCCTTTTTATTTGAACTAGGTTTTTAGACAATCGTGCAAGCAATACAATTTTAATTGCAGATTGCATTGCCCGTGAAAATTAATTGCTTTCCATTTTGTTGCCCTGTGTAAATTAGCCATAGAATATATGGCAAATTTATGGTGACAATAATGACGTTGATGATGCACACTTAGTCAGCATAAAATTGATTTGAAAAATTGGCAAAATATCAAACGAAGCAAAAACAAAAAAATAAAAATGTCCATACTCTTTAAGGTGTTTATCATAAACAAAGATGTGCCCACTTATATATAAAATATATGTATGTACAACAACAAAAAATAAATAAATTAATGATGTGTAACTAAATGTGTTTTCTAAATTTTGTAGATTTGTTTGTCGATTGTACAAAAATAACTGCTTGCTTATAAAGTAAACACAATGAGGTCAAAAATACACATAGTAAACATTAAAAAAGATAGATACATCATCCCTTTTTGAGTAAATTGTAGTTATATTGTATAAAGTGGGGGAGGAGGTTCTTGAGGACATTTAAATATTATAGAAAAATAATATATTTTTTATATTTGTTGTATCTCATTTGGTAAGGTATGTTGGGTAGATTTTTTTGTTTTGTTGTTAAAAATTAAATAAATTTTTGTAATCTGTTTTTGATTTGTGGCAATTTTAAGAACAGAATCGTCATTGGAATAGACACATATAAATTGTATAATTCTTATTTTTATAATAAATATATAAATATATAATGTAATAGTTTGAGAGGTTTTTAGGGATTTTTAATAAAAATTCGTATAAGGGCTGTTTTTTTTCTTTTCTGGGGGCGGTTTAAATTGCATTTTGATATAATTGAAATATTTTATTGCAGGCACTACTTTGGAATATAACAACTATATCAAAGAACAATTTAAACAAATTGCAAATGTAAACAAATGCGTAAAAACCTAGATATAAAAACAAAACACAAATAAATTGAAATAAATAAATAATAAATATCCTATAACGGAATCAGAAAAAAAGGACTAGAAACCCCGTTTTCTGTCTAGACACAAGAATGTGTGAGTATGATCCTGCTTTGAATGGGTACATATAGATTGTACAAATAGATTGGATACCAATCAAAATTGGGTGACAAAAAGTCTTAACAGGCGTATCAGGAAAGGCCTACATGATGTAGAGAGGGAGAACCTTATAACAGAGAGACTCTAGATAAAGAAGCCTATCTAGATCTGGATAGTTCTTGGATCCACCCCATCCATCTTTGGTTACAGCCCACTAAGGTAAGCGAACCGACAACAATGACTCCCAACCACAATCTCGCGACGGCCGGTTCTATGCCCCGGATTGATTCGAATCCAGCAAATACATGCCCGTGTTCTTTTGATACCTGCCCCGACAAATCCTAGTAGTTTAGATAAAGAAGCCTATCTGGATCTGGATAGTTCTTGGATCCACCCCATCCATCTTTGGTTACAGCCCACTAAGGTAAGCGAACCGACAACAATGACTCCAAACCACAATCTCGCGACGGCCGGTTCTATGCCCCGGATTGATTCGAATCCAGCAAATACATGCCCGTGTTCTTTTGATACCTGCCCCGACAAATCCTAGTAGTTTAAGCACAATTAAGATCCGAATGGTGCAGCCGCCGCAATTTGTGGCACAGGCCACCTTGACACGTTACACCTCTTTCACAGCCCAGCCAAACCTATTCATCTCACTCCCCATGGAAACAACCTATGCAGGTTGTGTTCTTCTTCAATTAGGTCTTAGAAGCAAAATCAGTTTGAGAAGAATCTGAAGGACATGGCAGTAGGAGTTGCCACAACAACCTCCCATACATTGCAGCTGAAGCACGTCATCTGCCTAGAGAAACCAGGGTAGTTCTCGGCCAACTACGTTCAGGATGGTGCATTGGGCGTAAATTGATGAAAAGTTGACCGGCGTGTGGTAAAGCCCGGCATAAAACTCCGCATCTACTTAATTGCCTGCCAAACTAACTTAACATACTTCTGGCGATCTTTAGCTACAGTCTGTGAAGGTGGTCGAATTTTCGAAATTTGAAAGGGGTTGGATTAAGCAAATTAGTACATCCGAAGGGATGGCCATGGAAAAGGGAATTGTACTAATAACGAACTGCAGTTTATCAGGATGAAGTTCGTTAGGAAGTTCAAGAGAACATATCCTAAAACAACACTAAACAGAATCCGCGAATGCAGAACAGTACGAGGCCTCCCGACGAATGCGGGAAACCCCTGCTCATCTTAGGAAGGTGGTGTTGAAGGAGACTGAAACAAAGAAGCCTTCAAAAGGGGATCCTGAGGTGACAGATATCAACCTCCAAAGCAAGGGAGGGTAAGGTTAAGTCTACAAAAAGGCCGCCAGGAAGAAGAGGAAATCGAAGTCTGCTAAACCATCGAAACCGAAGTCTGCTATACCCATCAGTTGATACATCAAAACAACCCGCTACATCGGAGAACGTGGTGAAAAAACAGGTGGACAGGGCAGAGCGATAGTGAGCGGACATAAGGTTATCTTTTCTGCTGAGTTGCCAATCTAACTGAAGGTAGCAGCATCGAAGGTGACCAAGTCCCCTTCTCAGCCAGTGGCTGTGAAGAAAATACGGTCAACTGAGGAACAGCAACCCAAGGTGAAGAAAATGGTGACGACACAGACAGTGCAAAAGTCCATCTCGTATGCTTCGTTAGCGGCAAAGAAAGATAGTGTCTCGATTGCCTAATTTCTTAAATGTCTAAACGGCCGAAAATTTAGGCATAAATTTGGAAAATGGTTGGGTTTCGGGTAAAATATACCAAACACATTTTTGCAATTATTCTACTGGACAAACTGATAATAACCGCTAATATGTTTCTGGAATGTAAACATGTAGCTGATAAAAAGTATCAAGTGATAATCACAGCGATAAGATTTGTGTACAAAAAAATGGCAATAAAAATAGATCAGTTTGTGTCGAAATCAGCGTAAGCAATAAATTGTAAAAACCATTTAAGGGAATTGAACGAATTTCATATTTAATAGGTATCTATTTTCTGTGGATGAAAACTTGAACTTGTGAGAGAAAGGGCCTGCAAAATGGGTTTGTCATTTATGACGTTTAATATGTCTGATCCGCAAAATAGGAATAATTTTAAAAGAAAAAAAGAAAAATTTAATTTAAACTATAAAAATACCAACCAAAACTAAATTGAAAAACTAAAAACTATATTTTTCAAATGTCGTTAAGTTTTTTTTTTTTTTTTCCAAAAAATTGAAGCATTGTTTTTTTATCATTTTAAAAATGTTTGACTAAATGTTGATGTTAAATGTTTCTCGTTAAAATTGTATCTCTTTTGTTATCTTTTAATTTATCTCGAATTTTCAGTTGGTTTTTTTTTCATAAATTGTTTTTTGTTTTATAATTAACATTTAAATTGTAAAATTTAATTGTAATTAAAGATGTTTTTCTTGCAATAATTTAAGTTTAATTAATTTCTCTTTTGCTTTTTTTTGGTTTTTGCTTTCATTATAAATTAGTTATTGTTTGCCAATTCTTTTTGTTGTTGCTTGTTTTCTTTAAATATATGCTGTTCCATAGACACTGAAAAAATTCATTAATTTATCCATTACTTTAGAGTTCTTCCCCAGCCTCTCAACTAAAATACATAATACAATATAAGATGGTCTTATATAAAACTTACTTTTCCAATATATGTATATATGTATCTATATATTTTCTTCTGCAGCATGTCATAATCATTGAAGCTATATAATATGCATAATCAACATTGTTAGCATCATTATCATCATCAATATCGCAATAATCATTATCGAGAGAAACAGCCTCCTTCCTGGTGTTGTTTGGCTTGGATGTCAGTTGTTGGTTGGGTCATTTTTTCACATCATTATTATCATCATCATCATTAGTTAGTTGTAGCATCATCATCATTCATAATCCTTGTGTGTTTGTTTGTGTTTGCTATTTAATTACCATTTGGCAGTGGCACAACCACCTGCACATACGATTGTGGAAAGTAGCCAGTGCGACCGTTGATTGAGCCCTCAAACCAATTTTCGTCGACGCGACTCAGAAGCGTAATAATTTCATGTTCTTTAAAGCCCAACTCGCCGGGATTTTGAGGATCGAAATCGTACAACGCCTGGCAATAGGGCTGCATCTGTTGTCGCGACGGTGTTGTGGCCATCGATTTTGCCGGTGAACGCATAGGCGATGGCAGCGGAGATGCACCAGCCGCCCTATGGTGGGCTGGTGTGCCCGAGCTCTCCGTGTCATTGCCCGTTCCGTCCAAGTTCAAATCGAGTAGAGTTTTGGGCACAAATTCCGGTTTAGGACGCGATTCGGCTTCTTCCCGTTTCTCTTGCAACGTTTCCTGCAGACCGCGCAAAATATCAGCGCACTGAGAGTGAAATTCGTACAAAGCCTCGGCGAAAGTTACCAGTTGCGATACTTGCTCGGTGTCATTCTCGAGCAAGTTGAACATACCCATTTGGGCAAGGTGCAACGATTCGGCAAACTTTTCCTCGGAACTACGTATTTCATCGTCTTTGGCCTGTCGGCGACGTTTGCAATCGAAGTCAAGTCGCCGTCCCTGCAGCTTCTTTCGATGATGCATAACCTCTTTCAAATCCTTCATTTGCATGTGATGCAGTGGTTCCAGGAAGTTTTGTTTGATATTGTCATCCAGAGAATATTTCACATCGGCCATTTGCCTCAGCGCTTCGCCAAACTCAACTAGCGCCTGCGCAAAAACGCTATTGTCTTCGCCTAACTTTTTGCCATAAGTCAACATACAATCAGCCAAAAGGCCTTCGGGCTGAGGATACGTATTCGATTTTGCCTGTCCAGACAATTTCGAGATGCCCTTGACGGCTGCCATCTTGGCTCTGGCCGTGGGATTTGGTTGTAGGAATTCTTTGGTTTTCACCTGCAGTTCCTCGACCAGTTCGACGGTTACGTCTGTTTTGCGTTCCATTTCCATGAAATCCAAATCGAGTTTGGTGCCCTCGGCACCACCCATTTTTTCCGTCACATACTGATTGGCTTTGTTAATTTGTTTCTTGAATCCTGCAAAGGCCATTTTTAGGCTGGTGTTGTTGTCTTCTCGAAAATCTTATCAATGGGGAAGGGGTCGTTTTAAACACGACTTAATGGACTTTTTGTTTTATTACTACCACGACGACAGCGGACTGGCTGACTGCTGCCTGTATTTTCTTCTTCTCCTCTGCTGCTTCTGCTTGATTGCTTTCTCCAAATACCACCAGCAGCACCAAGTGTAACCAACGAACGATATATACACACGCACGGCAATGGCAACGACGACGACGACAACGATAACGGGTAGTGAGGAAAAATCAATCACCTTCAGCTTAATTTTTGCCTTTCTTTCGTTTTTCGCGTTTTATATTTTTGGACTAAATTGACATTCGAATTGGAATATTTTCACTCTATCTCTTATAATTTAGTTATTGTGCAGATTTTTTGACGATTATTTCAGAATTTATTGTTAGGCGTTTATTGCTAATTGTTTTTTCTTCCCGTTTTTTGTGTGTGTTCTACTTTTTTCGCAAGTTTGGTTTACTCTCACCGAACGTTTTACACAATTTAATTTTTCTCGAGCAATTCTATCTCCGATGAGAATCTCGGAAGAGAGCAAGGCCGGTTGAACAAAATTGATGCGTAATTAGACGCCGTCATTGATGTTGGATTATAGTAGCCGCCTGCCTGTGTAGTGGTCAATTGTTGGTTTATTTTAAAAATCAAGGAAATAAAAAAAAAATATTAAACCAAGAAAAGGAGATTTCGATCTTAAATTTATTAATAAACAATTAATAAAATAAAAATAATTAATAATTAAGTACAATTGAATTATATTATTACTATATTATAATTAAGAACAAATTCAAGTAGAGGATTCCTTGTCGAAGAAAGCAGTTCGGAGAACTTTTCGAAATTTTATTATTAATTTTTTAATGATATGTAGCGGTATGGGAATATGTTGCAATATTCTGATTCTGAAATACGCCTATATATCTCTGGTCGGTAAAAACTGTGTTATTGATATTCGCCGACTGATTGTATGACACTTACATTAAGCTAGATGTCAGGTATTGAAATCAAAAATCCTTTTTTGAAGAACTTGATGTAAATAGCTTCTTCTTCGTCTACGTTTACCATTATAAAAAAAATTATTAATGTAAAAGTAAATTAGTTCATATATAATTGAAATAATTAAAATAGGTCATTCTCAACAAAATATAACTGTATTTGCCATTGGAATAACGACGCCGGCATTAAATTCATTGACTTTGCTTTTTACGACGAAGTAATCACTACGTGGTTAACCGGTAAACACTAGAATCTCTCTCTCGCTCTATCTCTTTGAGCACTGAGAAAAATAAAATGTCAAGTTGAAGGCTACTACAGTATTGCGCCTGTTTGGGGATGATTTTCCTTCGCCAATGTTTTTTTTTTTTTTTTGCAATGTTCACGAAAAGAAAATTTCAAATAATGAGTAATAAAAACAAATCGAAGCAAAGAGAATTTCGTTTTAATAAAACTATAGAGCCAGACATGCTGACGCCATGCCATGAATGGAAGGGGATGTCCATCAGTTGTTGTTTTTGGCAGAGAAAAGAAAAAACGTTTTAAGACCCAACATCGTAAATGAGAGATAAATCCGTAACTCGTTACGCATGAATGTCGTCATTTTATGTGTAAAAATATATGTATGTAGGTACAAAGTTAATTTTTTTTGTGTGTATATATAAATATTACGTAGTCGTGGGGCTTAAATGTAGGTTGCTTGGTGTACAGGAATTTCGTCAGATAGAGTGGGTGGGTGGAGAGAAGGATTCTCGTTGTGTTCATTCATAAAAAATTGTTCTCCAAACATGTGATTATTTAAGGGGGTTAAATAAAATAAATCGTAATTCATTTAATATTTTTGTAAATAAATAAATTGGAAAACTAATCGTTTGCTTTTTAATATACCTTTTTTGCAAGGGTATTTTTCTGATTCGAAAGTGTTCATAAATTCAACAGTTGGAATTCAATGTTGCCACTTGTACGAAAACAGTGTTGTCATGGTAATCTTTTGCCCGTAATATTACTATTCGTCGTTAGATGGCAGTAAATATAGATAGTATCATTGACAGGTAGATTTCGCCCTAAAATAAATAAATAATGGTATAGACATAGACAAATTAGGTATAGACTAAAAAGTTGTCTCATCTGGTATCTCTGAAAAAAGTGCTTCAATAGATGTCGTTCATGCTGTGAGAGAGGTTCAGTAGACTCACTCAATTCTCTCAAAATACAAAATATTAAACATTTCTATGATTCTTTATTATTTATCAATTAAAAACGAAACATCGACTTTGTTTACTTTTATATTATCCAAATATGTCGTGAAATATAAAAATATAGAACTTAAATAGCAGAAAAATTAATAAATTGTTTTCGAAGTCGAGTGACTTCACTAGCCCTGAGTGACTTGGTTGGCCCAAGATCAATAATAGTGACATCTGCCGGAAGGGAAAAATTTAAAACTTTTTAGTCTATACCTTTATTTGTCTATGGTATAGACTAAAACTTTGTTTCATCTGTTATCTTTGAAAAAAGTGCTTTAATTCTCTCAAAAGGCAAAATATTGAATATTTTTATGAATTATTATTATTTACCAAATGAAGACGAAACAGCGACTTCGTTACATTGACATTACCCAAATATAAAACTTAACTAGCAGAAAAATAATTAAATGGTTTTCCAATTCGAGTGACATCTGCCGGAAGGGGTAAATTTTAAAACTTTTTAGTCTATACCTTTATTTGTCTATGATGATGCTACAATATCATCATATAACATGGGAAAGCTCTTTGTAGCAAGGACCACTTCAGAGAACAACCGAAACATATTGATGTTCGGGTAAAGGAAAGTGTTTTCCAAGACACAATCACGGGCACAGTGCCTCCTAGCATAGATAGGGATTTTTGGCGGATGAGTTTCGTTGTTCAACCAAACTATTCCCACAATTAAGGAACAGGAATTAAATGCCAAGATGCTGGTAGGTGAAAAAGTGGCTATATTACACTGTGCGACACAAAAAATAATTACAGTTGAAATCCAGCAGATTATGAAAGTAGAGTTAAAAAAGAAGACACGTAACCAATGGAGGTGGCAAGTTCCCCCTCTTTTTAGCAAACAAGCGAACCAAAAACATATGTCACAGATTTCTACTATAGGTCTCACAAAACGTCGAAAGTCTAAACCTTAACCAAACGCTAGGAATTCATATGTATTAGAAACAAATTTTAGGTTTAACAAGTAAAAAAGCAGTAAGTTCGGCCGGACCGAACTTTGGATACCATTCACCATTTGCGACAAATTAGGAAATTTTCAAAAAAAAAAAATAAATAAATAAATAAAATAAAATAAAAAAATAAATAAATAAATAAAATCCATTAAAAATTTTGTTAAAACCTTAAAAATACCGAATATCGTAGGGTGACGATATATGGGCAGATATACGATATTGTAGACCTATATAGACAAATCTATGCATGGGGGTAATGTACTCACAAAGAACTCCTTGTGTAGAATTACAGACAACTCCGTTGAAAAATGTGGCTAAAATCATCAAAACACCGAAAATGGGGGGTGCCCTTTAAAGGGGGGTATACGATGTCGTGGATAATTATCTTCCAGGGGATAAGGTACTCACAAAGAGCTCCTTGTGTAGAATTTCAGACAATTCCGTTGAAAAGTGTTGCTAAAATCATCAAAATACTGAATACCGGCGGACCTATATAGCGAGTTCTCTTTCAGGGCGTAAAGTGCTCACATGGAACTCCATGTGTAGAATTTCAGACAGTTCCCTTAAAAATGTGGCTAAAATCATCAAAATACCGAATATGGGGGTACCGTTATATGGGAGCTATACGATATCGTCGACCGATATAGCCCATCTTCGAACTTGACTTGCCTTCAGACAAAATTCAGATCTGTGCATAATTTTAGCTTCCTATCTTAATTTGTTTTGACTGTAACGTGATTGCAATAGACGGACATATGGATGGGCTGATCAAGAATATGTACTTTGTTGGGTCTAGAATTATTATTTCGATGAGTTACAAACGGAATGACGAACTTAATATACCCTCCATACTATGTATGGTGGAGGGTATAAAAATATACTTTTTATGAGTTTGTGCAAAAGTCTCCAATAATGCATAATTTTAGAAGGATGACGTCAAAGACAAAAAAATTCTCAAGGTCAAAGTTAAGTACACCTCACCAAAGATAAGACTGTATATTAAAAAAATATTTGCATCAATGTTCCCAAAAACAAAAAATTCCCATATATTTTTGATCTAATTTTCCTTTGACTTTTTTCGAGTTGACGCTTGAAAGTAACATAAAATTTCGTTTTAGACGAAAGATGCCAAAGGAGGAAATATTTTACACAACATTTCAATATAAATCTCAGAATAAACTATATATCTAGGTGCAATAGTTTTTATGAAAATTATATTCGAAATTTATATACCAAAAGTGAAAATTATGCGTTTGCTTTTTATACCCTACAACACTATGTCTTGATCAGCGTAAAATACTAAACCGATTTAGCGATGTCTGTCTGTCCGTCTGTATGTCTGTTGTAATCACGCTTTCGAACGAATTGAGATAGAAGGCTACAATTTTGCACACGTTTTTATTTTTCTAGTAGGCAGGTTAAGTTCGTGAATAGGTCATGTAGGCCCACGTCTTCATATAGCCCCCATATAACTGTACCTCCCGATATTCGGTATTTTGATGATTTTAGCGACATTTTTCACTGGTTATGTTTCAAATTTGGTATTTGAAGTTCGTAATGGATACTGCAGCCTAAGACAGAAAATTGTCTGCGCAGGTCCATGTCTTTGTATAGCTCCCATATACCTGTACCTCCCGATATTCGGGATTTTGATGAATTTAGCGAATTTCTTCACCGAAATTGTTTCAAATTTGGTATTTGAAGTTCATAATGGATACTACAGCCTAAGACAGAAAATTGTCTGTGCAGGTTCACCTATCCGTAAAGCCCCCATATAACGGTACCCCCCGCTATTCGGCATTTTGATGATTTTATCGAATTTATTCGCCGGAATTGTTTCAAATTTGGTATTTGATGTTCGTAAGGGATACTACAGCCTAAGACAGAAAATCGTCTGTTTAGGTCCACGTCTTCGCATAGCAACCATATAAGGGTACCTTCCTATATTCGGTATTTTGATTTTATCGACATTATAACCGATTTTTTTTAAGTTTCGTATTTGAATATTGTAATGGCTTATGTTACCTACGCAGGTTCATGTCGTCGTATAGACCCTAATATAATAGCTACATTCGATATTTTTAAGAATTTAACAGAAGTTTTAACGGATTTTTTTGCCAAATTCGTTCCAAATGGTGGAGGGTATTCAAAGTTCGGCCCGGCCGAACTTACAGCTTTTTTACTTGTTTTTCACTCACTCGTATTTATAGCTTCGCAATTTACATGTATTCATTTGTTTGTATTTGTGTTTGACTGATGGACGTGGTTGCCATGTAACCATTTATGAAATAAGCACTCGTTGGATTGATCTTCTTTTCACTCACTCGTATTTATAACTACTGATCTCTTCGCAATTTACATGCATTCGTTTGTTTGTATTTATGTTTGATATTGTACTTGGTTGATATTAGTACTTGGTTGTCATTCCGTTGGATTACTGTGGAATAACTTGGATGGTGTTTCCATCTATAGATGAGAAACCATAAATACGAGTGAGGAAATCAAATATAATTTCGCATAAAATTGGATATAAATGTTTTATTTTCTTGCAACGAATTAACAATACCAAACCATTATAGTCCAAACCTGACACATCGAAATATTTATATCATATTTATTTAGATCTGAAACGAAATGGATAATATTGGCACATTTCTTTGGAACCTACTCCATAGTGGATCAATCGTTTGAATAATCATAACAGAAGTCGAAATATATTTTATTGATCGAACATTGCCTGAGGGTATACATCTGTCGGCTAAACCGTCTGATACTTTTTAACTTCTTTGGACTTCAATTTCTATATTTTAATTCGAGCTCCTACCATTTTTAAGTGAATACAGGGGCGTACATTTGGCCCAAATTCAAATATATATGTCGCGTGGTATTTGGAATGTATTTCTAAAATATGTAGCGATTTTATGTGCCTTATCTCCATTAATCATTATACCCTCAGGGTATCATTTGATTTGGCCGATAACTCTCAATTTGGCCCAAACTTGGAACATTGTAATATTATTTTCAAACTTAGATCGATTTCGGATATAGGCAATATCGCTCCAGTCCTTCTGCAACCTCTACCACAAATGGTTGAAATTTTCAAAAAAAAAAATTATGTCCGTTATCTCCATCATTATTTCATCATCCAAATCTAGAAGGCAAACTGTCTGCTAGCTAATGTAGGGCAATAAATAACTCTATATTTATTTATCTATATATAGTTTCTAATTCAAAGAAAAATCTTAGATAAATATTCAAAATTTCCGTTCAATTAGTCATTGCAAAGCACAATATATGGCTGATGCAGGAAATCGTAAATTATCTGTAAGAAAACAGTTCATGTTATTTTCGAGATAATATGGACTGCTGCAGAAGATATTTAAAAAAAACAATATAATAAAAATTACATTCTGACACAGAAGATTCTGACAGGCGGACGGCGAGTGGAGCACGACAACAAAACCAAAAAAAAAAAAAAAAAATTCACAACAAACATATAGAAAATCATCAGCCTCGGGTAGCGCCAGATAAGATCTATGTATGTATGTTATCTGCCTACCGCCAATCTATGATTGTCTTTGAGAGCAAAACGGTAGCTGGCTGGCTGGATGACATGAATGAATGCTTGGACTCATGGATTGGGCCCGTCATCTATAAAAGCAATAGCGATGGGGTGTATTAGCATTATTCACTCGAGGAACTTTGCAAACGAATCTCACAATTTTCCAAACGACGGGTTGCTTCAATTTTAACAATTAAATCAAAATGAAATTCTTTTTGGCTGTCTTCGTGATCTGTGCTGTGGCCTACTCTCAGGTAAGAGCAATTTTTCAAAATTTTGTTAAACATAACATTAAATTCTTATTTTCCAGGCCCAAGCACCCATGGGTTTCTATCCGGGTTTCCCCGGCCAGCAAGCATTTGCTGGCGTCTCACCCGGCCAATTCTACCAGACCATGATTCTACAAAAAGAGGCTGGCAAACTATTGATTAGACCCGATTTGCCCCAGGATTTGAGACAACGTGTTTTGGACATTATGACCAGTGCTGAGCAGGGTTTGAATAAATGTAATGCCCCTGAGGCTACCACCGGTACCGGCACTGGCGCTGCCACACCCACCCTCCCATGGATGCAAATACAATGCTCTGCCCTGCAAATGAAATTGTATAAAAATCAATTGAAAGTCATCAAAAATGAAGCCAATGCCAGAGCTGCTGCTGCTACCGCCGCCATGCCAAGTGCTTAAAGCGGAAGTAAGATAAACTGAAGTGGAGCATCTTGCTAACATATTTTCACCACACCCAATACGAGCCACGTATATTGCAAATTATTTGAACACACCAATATTTATATCTATATGTATCTGTATGTATCTAGAATTTATTATTGCAGAATAAAACAGTCAAAAATGTTTACCATTTATTTTGATACGGCTTATCATTGGAGGGATGGGAAATGACGCTGCACAGTGGTCGGAATCATTGCTAAAGTGGCATGAAACTGAAACTACAAGGTGGAATAAATAATTGAGTCACAAACTACATGGGATATATGAATTCTCTCAGTTTGTGCCCGCTATTTCGCAGTTTCGATCTAACAGTTTGTGTCAGGCCTTTTATACCCTCTATACAGGGTATATATTCTGAATCAGCGTAAAATTCTAAGGCGATTTAGCGATGTCCGTCTGTCTGTCTGTCTGTTGTAATCACGCTATCCTTCGAACGAATTGATATAGAAGGCTAACATTTTCCTGGCGAACTTTGCTGCTCTTTATACCATCAGACATATGGCTACAGAAGGTATATATCATTTGATACGGGCAAAACGTGCCTCATCGAAACAACATTTGGAGTCGATCTAGCGATGTCCGTCCGTCTGTCTGTCTCTGTGGCTGCATGGCGATAACTCTCGAAGAGAGTATTCGATTTGATCCAAACTTTGCACATCGTAATATTATTGTGAAACTTAGATCGAGTTCGGAGATGGGTATTATTGGTCCACTCATTTTGGTAACTCCCACACAAAAGGTCGAAATTTAAAAAAATACTTTGCTGCACAGAAAGAGAAGGGATAATCTGATTTTGCTCCAACTTTACATATCCTAATACTTGCATTAGTGCTAGGACAGGTGCGAAAATGGACAATATCAGTCCACTCCATCAGATACCTCTCCCACAAAAAGGGTAAACATTTTGAATAATTATAACTATTATAAAATGTGATGTAAGTGTTCGATTGGAAGTTTTCGACACTGATCACAATATTTTCATTAACTCAAGGTTTTGAATATTTATGAAACTCATGCAACACGACTTTAACATCCGATTCCATTCAGACTTGACACATCTTAATATTTTCATAAGTAATATGGTAGAGATCTGAACATTCCTTCTTGTACCTCCTTAACGAAGGGTCAAAGTTTTGAATAACCGAAACGATCATAAAATCCGAAATAAGCATCCGGTTCTCCTCAAATTACACACATCACAATATTAATCCAATGTCTGGTGTGAAAATGGGATATATCGGACCACTCCTTCTGATACCACCTCCACAAATGGTCAACATTTTGAGTATGCTTGAAGCTCATAAAACGTATCAACACCAGATCTGTTAAAAATATGGTACAGATCGGATTTCTTCTGGTACCTCCCCCACATAGAGTTCATAATTTTTGGAAAACAAAATGCTCGATATAAGCATCCAGCACTCTTCAATTTTCTTCAAATATACCAATATTTATACCCTACACCACGAGGTGGTCAGGGAATTATGTCTTTGTGCATTTGTTTGTAACAGCCTAAGGGAAACGAGATAAGCCCATAGTTCCTTTTGATGATCTGCAAAGAATCACATTCTGAGTCGATTTATGCATGTCCGTCCGTCTGTCTGTCTGTCCGTCCGTCTGTTCATGTATTTTTGTAAACAAAGTACAGTCCGCATTTATTGCCCTATGCAGATGAAATTTTGCACAAATCATTTGTTTGGCCCAAGGACGAACCCTATTGAAATTGGAGATAATCGGTCAAAATTTAGATATAGCTCCCATATATATCTTCGTCCGATTTGCCTTTTATTGAGCACCAAACGTGTAATATCAGCCCGAATAGCATGTAATACAACCAAATTAGTCCTGAAAATAAGTATGCCAAATTTGATCGAAATCGGTTTAGATATAGCTATAGCTCACATATGTATTGTTCATCCGATTTGTTATTTTTGTCTTCCGCAGCCGTAGTGTGCACTCTGTAACAACAATATTTGGGGAAATTTTTCAAATACAGCTCAGAAATATATTTGCTAAATTTTATCGAGATCGGTTCAGATTTGGATATAGCTCCCATATATAACTTCGTCCGTTTTACATTTTATTGTGCATAAAACGTCTAATAAGACCGTAGTAGTATGTCAAATGTAATGTCAAAGCTAGTATGTCAAAGCTAGTATGTCAAATTTGGTGAAGATCGGTTCAGATATAGCTATGGCTCCCATATATATGGTTCATCCGATTTGTTATATTTGTTACCCACAAGCGTAATATGCGCTCCGTAACAACGATATTCAGGGAAATATATCAAATACAGCTCAGAAATATCTTTGCCAAATTTTATCGAGATCGGTTCAGATTTGGATATAGCTCCCATATATATCTTTATCTGATATCGAATTAATTGTGCACCAAATGGGCAATACAATTCCGAATTTAAAATATACAAATGCTTCGGGATATTTAGTCCTTTGAACTTTAAATTATAATTATAATCATAGCGTGTATGATTGAATTCTCCCATAAAAACTTTTAATTGTTATGTGGAGATCTACTACATTATCAAAGTGGAGTAGGGTATCATAAAGTCGGCCCCGCCCGACTTTAAGGCTTTCTTTACTGGTTTTATCTATATTAGATAAAGTATGAAAATGCAATTCTTGGGTCCGCTAGATCTGTTACCTTACACATTTTTTCAAAAATTTTCACATATTTCATATAACGTATAGGATGTAATCTGGCACGTTGTAATATATATATCAAATACCAATAGGTCAATAATGGCAAAGTGCTTCGGAATTATAACTAAAGGCGGGGGGTATACATCCGTCGGTAAAACCCACTGATACTATTTTACTTAGTGCATTCAAATCACAGTTATGCTTTTTGATAACCTCCTTAGTTTTTAGCTGGGCTTACTGGCCGACTTTATATAAACCATACTCAATACTGTTTGTAAAATGTCTCATAATATAGAATATAGTACCATGAACGCATATACACAATTTTCGCCAGAAGAGTGTATACCCATTATGATGTTCATATAATAAATTTTGAAACAAATTCAAAAAAAAAAAAAAAAAAAAAAATATACATATATATATATATATGTGTATACAGAAATATCCCTATAAAGGCAGGTATCCTCGTAGGGTGGCTTTGTAAAAAGTTTACTTTTCATTTTCTTTTTGAGGGGTTAGTTTTCATTACTAACTTTATGTGTGTCATTCCAAAAAAAAAAATCTTTTGGGAATTATGACAAAAATCATAAACTACCCAATCTCAAATAGTTCAGTTGAAAATATCCACAAAATAAATAAAATATTATCCACTACAAAACTAAAATGCCGAACCTGAAACCATTCCGTTGAGAAATAGGAATAAAATATTCAAAATGGTACCATGATGGTACCCCTCACTAACTTGAAACTAGTAGTACGACTATCAGTGACGCTAAATGTACCTTAACTTAAAATGTTGTAGGGTAATACCTAATTACTAAAACTATCATATGTGGCACCCAACAGTTTTAAAGGGTTTCTATTAATAGACTCCTAGACCTAGATTTTAAGGAAGCCCCAGATTTTCTCTTTCTTACTCGGGAGTTGCTCGCTAGCGGAATTGCTCGAAGTTTCATATGGTGTTTTATATTTTATATGACTCTTCACCCTTTTTTTCGTGAAAGCGCTCCCGTGTTACTCCTGTTTGAAAAATTAGAGTGTCAGCTAAATTGCTCGAAATAGCATTATATAGAGATGAGGTAATACGTGGACCTATATAGACAATTTTCGGGAAAGACAATTCCATAAAAAACATGAAAATACCGAATATCTGGGGGTAATTTTATATGGATACTATATGCAATCGTAGGTCTATTTACAAAAGTTTTTGAACTTCATATATCAGATCCCAGACAAATCCATACGAAAATGTGACAAAATCCCGAATATAGAAGGGGTACCGTTATATGTGGACCATATACCTGCCTGCGGGTAAAAATCTGCTCTGCCCAAAATTTTAACTTCCTATCTTAATTAGTTTCTACTCTAGTGGGTGGGCATAAAAAACAAATAATCAAATAATAACAAATAATTTATGTTCTTAGGGTAAGGTGAAATTCCAACTTTTTGAGAACTTGAAAAATTAAATTTTTTGTCCGAAGTCGTTTTACGTTTATTTATGCGAGACTAATTCCTAAACGTATCCAGCACATGCCAAGCTTTTAATAGAGCATTATTGATCTCGAAAATATTTTTTATACGTTAAATTGTTCGAAGCAACACTGTGTGAGAGTGTGGAACTTAGTGTTTTTTATCATCCTTATCAGCATGTGGTTAGAAATTTTGAAGATGATGGAGGTATCAAATGTTTTTTGATCTAAAATATACAACTTCACACATAATTTATTGCGCAGCCTATAAATTTTCGCATAAGAACAAAAACGCTCTATCTACTGGTTTACTATGAACTCTTAATGCGGCATTTGGGAGGTCAGTAGTACTTCAATTTACAACGAAACTATAAATAAAGCGAGGTTTCGGGAATCATCGTACCTTCGCTTCAATAGGGCACATATGCAATATTTAAATATCTTATCTTGACTGTAGGCAATTTCTGTAACTTTTTATTAACTTTAACTAACTGTTGAAATACAATTCCCACCATATTTTTTCTCTTCCCAGCCATCGCTAAATCGCTGCTCAATAGATTTTTATTAGACAGTTTAGCCATTTTTTCAATTAGTACCCGCCTAAAATTATGCACATGAATTTATATATTTCACTGGCAACTACTCAATAACTATCAACCCAGCGAACCAAATGTCGGAAGTTTGATACGTCTGCTCAAAGTCTGCAGTTTTTTCCGACGCGTCTGACCGACGTAGTCCGACTTTTGAGCAATTTGTCTGTAGTATTTTTTCTTGCTGTAGCGTTGGAGTGCGTTTCACGCTCTTGCTCTTTGACAGGTTTTTTGTACTTATACATTGTGGATTCAAAAAATGCGTAGTTATTGTTATGCAGTCGGGGAAAAAATTACAATTAATGAAAAAAGTGCAGAACTTCATAAGACCTTTTCTTCGGAATTGAGACCGAAAAGTCGGAAAAAAACAGAAATGTGCATAATATTTGTTCAAAAGAACATATTTTACTAACACATTTTTAATTTTGTTTTTATTATTATTTTATTCTATGTCAGCATATAACTGACCTATATAATTATTGTTTGCCTTATGCAGGCCAATAGCCTAAATAAAGAAACACCTCGATTGGTTTCACATTGCATGGGTTATTGGCTGAAGTAATTTATTGCTTAGTTAACTTTAAATGCTAGTTTTAATGAATTCAAAAATGTATAAATAGAAAGCAAAAATAAATTTTCTTGGTAGATTACAAGAAATTGTAAACATACCAAGGTTACACAATTCAAGTGTTGTGTATATCTGCTTTAATTAATATTAATAAACATTTTTTGGTGACCCCGACGTGATCCTGACAAGGATTACTTGATTCACTCATAAATTTCGAATTTCCCCCCACCAGTGGTAAGGAATTTGAAATATTTATTTGTGAAAGGAGCTAGTTACGTACAACTAGTAGCACCATCTAAGAGCCAGAAACATCTGGAGAAGAAGCCAGTACCTACATCAAGGATCTGAATCAACTGATAGCTAATCACCGTAAGGCGGATACAGTATGGATCTAGCTACAGTAATCGAGCAACAACAAGCAGCAATTGCCGAGTTGAGGAAGGCAATTGCGAACGTAAAAAAGGCTCCATTGGAAAGAAGAACGGTGGAGTTCTACAGCAAAAAGCTCAAGGAAATGGAAGCACTCTGGGCAGAGATCGATCGCAATGAAAACAAAATTCGTGCAGATCCTGCGGCAGAGTCACATCTCCATATCACCAATAACGAATACCAAGTCATTGGTGAAGAGTACAGAGCTGCAATCGACAACATCGAGGCAGACATCAAAAGGGGCAAAGAACAAATGCCTCAGAAACCGCTTCCCGCAACAAGGGAGGGGGTGCAAAAACAATCAGGCCAGTTTACTGCAACCAGCAGCGTGACTGCATTAGTGAGACGTCAGAGGGCTCTAATGCAGTCCATACAAACGTTAATAAGGGGCAATTCAGGCCAAGCTGCTCCCTGTCAGACAGTGGCTGCAATTGAAAAACTGTGGACACACGTGGAAGATATCCACTTCAAAATGTTCGAGGACTTTGATGACCCAACGTTGGTGGGGTACGATGCATCAGCCTACGTTCTCTTAGAGGAAGAGACGTTAAAGTTCAAAGAAAAAATATCGACGCTAACACAGGTCGATCATTCGTCGTCTCAGCAGAGATCAGGCGGAAACTTGGCAAATCAAGTTAATCTGCCAAAAATTACAATCCCTCAATTTAATGGGGATTATTCGAAGTGGCAGACGTTTGCTGACATTTTTGGGAAAATGATCAACGAGCAAGCCTTGCCACAAGTGCAAAAAATGTGGTATCTCAAGGCCAACGTGACTGGGGAAGCCGAGAAACTCATAAGGCACCTCGAGTTGACCGAGGCGAATTACGACATTGCCTGGAAGACACTCCAAGACAGGTACAATAACAAGAGAGCTCAAGTGTCAACTATACTTGAGAGAATGCTAAACCTGCCCAACATGTCTGGCGATAGCAGATCAGTGAAGGACTTTCATGATAGTCTTCATGAATCGTTATTGGCATTGGAGGGTCTTGGAGTAAGGCCAAAGGAATGGGATCCACTCTTAATCCACATCCTAACAAAGAGGATGGACAAGACTACTCATGTGTTGTATGAGCAGTCGATTGTAGATTCGAAAGAACTCCAAACGATGGATCATTTCATGAAATGTTTGAGGAGTCGTTTCGAATCATTAGAAGCTGTCAATGGGATTCAGAAGAGCAAACCGTCAGCAACGACTGCTTCCACCACGATCCGTAGATGTCACATGTGCAAAGGTGACCACCCCCTATATTACTGCAAACAGTTCTTGGCAATGACAGTGCCCGAAAGACAGAAATGGGTTGCTAGACACAAGATGTGTCTAAATTGCTTCAAGGATGACCATCAGGCAAAAACGTGTACAAGTGGGAAGTGCAGGAAGTGTCAACAAAAACACAATACACTTTTGCATTTTTCAACGAGGCCACAAGTAGAGAACAAGTCAGCAGATTTGTCGGTTCAACAGCCGCCAACAGTAGCATCGGCGAATAGATCCCAATCATACGTACTTCTTGCAACCGCACGTGTTGCGATCAAGGCAAATAATGGAAGAAGCTATGAGTTTAAGGCGATTCTGGATTCCGGTTCACAAATTAATCTGGTGTCAGAACGACTAGTGCAGAGGTTGGGTATCGAACCCATTCAAACATCTCTCTGTATCGAAGGTGTTGGAGGTAGATCAAGAACCGCAAACCACAGGGTCAACGTGGAGCTTAAGTCACTCACCAGCAAATTCAGAACACGCCTAGAAGCCTTTGTGTTACCAAATATAGTGCCACCCCAACCAAGCACTGAGATCGACATCGCATCATGGCCTATTCCAGAAAACATAAAACTAGCAGATCCCTATTTTTATCAAACGACCAGGATTGACGTACTACTTGGAGCAGAGTTCTACTTCAACCTGATTCTCTCACAAGAACTTCGAATGTCCAAAGAGCTTCCTATATTGAAGAACTCAAAACTAGGATGGATTGCTAGTGGAAGAGTTCAGGCTGAATCAGAAACTGTGACATGCGCCGTTTTCGGAGAAGATGAACATGCTTTAGAAGATTTATTAAAGATGTTCTGGGAACAAGACGATGTTTGTGAAGACCAGAAGTTGACAATAGCAGAGGAACAGTGTGAAAATCACTTCAACCAAAATACAACAGTGAATGAGAATGGTCGGTTTGTGGTGCGATTACCGTTTGCAGACGGCCCTGAGAAAATTTCTGAATCCTTGAATATTGCAGCATCAAGATTCTTTGCGTTGGAACGTCGCTTATCTAAGGATGCAAGTCTTCACGAGCAGTATGCTAAATTTATGAAGGAGTATGAGGATCTGGGACATATGACGAAAATACAATCAAGAGAGGTGCGTGGTAATCATTACTATATCCCGCATCATTGTGTCCTACGCCCAAATAGCAGCACAACAAAACTGAGGGTTGTGTTCGATGCGTCTTGCAAGTCATCATCTGGATGGTCACTCAATGATATTTTGCATTCAGGTCCCAGGGTTCAAGGAGATCTGTTTGGAATGCTGTTGCGGTTTAGACTGCCGAGATTTGTGTTTACAACAGACATTGAAAAGATGTACAGACAAGTGCTAGTCGACAAAAGAGATCGCAAATATCAACTAATCGTATGGAGAAACACTCCAGACAAGGAACTCGAACATTACATGTTGAATACGTTAACATATGGTACGACGTGTGCCCCATATCTTGCTACAAGATGTCTGAAAAGGCTAGCAGATACGAACATACAAAGATATCCATTGGGGGCGATGGTATTGCAAAGAATTTTTACGTTGACGATTGCATGTGCGGGTCTGACAGTTTAACAACGGCAATTGAGATGCAGAAACAAGTTAATATGTTACTACTGGAAGCTGGATTTAGACTACGAAAATGGTGTGCTAACCACTTAAAACTGCTGCATGGAATTCCTCCAGAAGATAGAGAAGTAGATCTCAATTTTGACAAATCATCAACCAAGGTTTTGGGATTAACATGGATTCCTCAAGCAGACCGATTTTGTTTGAAGAGTGATGTGAACGAATGCACCAAGGTCACCAAGCGGAAGGTCACATCTGATTTGGCAAGATTGTTTGACCCCTTAGGAATTGCGGGTCCTGTGGTGTCAGCAGCTAAGATCTTTATTCAGCAACTGTGGAAGAATAAACTTGGCTGGGACGAGGAACTGCCAGCAGAAAGGGCAGCATATTGGCTATCGTTCCGAGAAGGTCTGAAGATGTTAAATGATTTCAGGTTACCCAGACACATGTTTGATGGAGAGAAACCAACAAAAATTGAGATACATACTTTCGTGGACGCGTCAGAAAAGGCATATGGTGCTGTGGTGTATCTTCGAGCTATGCTGCCAGACGGCAGGCATATAGTCAGACTTCTTTGTTCAAAATCAAAAATAGCACCAATAAAGGAGATCACGCTGCCACGGTTAGAGCTTTGTGCCGCTGAATTGGGAACAAAACTTACTGCTAAGGTCAAAGCCGAATTGGGTTACGAAGATCTAAGGACTATTTATTGGTCAGACTCAGAGATTACATTGTACTGGATCAATTCAGAACCATCAGCTCTAAAGACGTTCGTTGCCAACAAAGTAAAAAATATACAAGGCAGATCGATAAACACTCAATGGCGACATGTGGGGACGAAGGATAATCCTGCCGATTATATATCCAGAGGTATGAAACCAGATCGTCTGTCGGGATGTCTGATGTGGTTTTATGGACCCACGTATCTACATGGAAATGAATCTCTCTGGCCGGGGCCCTTCTCAAAGAATAGAGAAAATCAATCCGATCTTGAATTCAAGACAAAATCTACAGTATCAGCAATTGCCTCACAGAGTGGGTTACAGGATATGATCTATGGAATCAACCACAAGGGTTCATTTAGACGATTACAACGTATTGTCGGTTATGTCCTGCGATTTTCAGAAAGGATAAAGGGACGCAAGCATGGAAGTTCGACAGATGTATTGACACCTATGGAGTTGAATCAGGCGATGCAACTAATAGTCAAGACCGTACAGGTGGCAGATTTTGCGAAAGAAATTCAGCAATTGAGGAAACATGGAGCATTGGACAAATCAAGCTCCATACATAGTTTAACTCCGTTTCTTGATGACAGAGGAATACTTAGAGTCGGTGGCAGGTTGGAAGAGGCAACCTTAGCATACGACACAAAACACCCGATGTTGTTACCATACAACGATCCAATTGTGAAACTCATTCTTAGCATGATCCATTTAGAGAATAGCCACTGTGGCTCACAACTATTACTGGCAACATCAAGACAAAAATATTGGATAATCAAGGGGAAGGCTATGGCTCGCAACATTGTGCAAAATTGCGTAAGGTGCACCCGGGCGAAGCCAAAGTTATACAACCAAATCATGGGAAATCTCCCACCGAGCAGAGTCACACCAGCAAGGCCGTTTATTGTCTCCGGCGTTGACTATTGCGGACCGTTATGGGTCCACTACAAAATACGAGGCAAGAGACCACACAAGGTTTACATCGCTGTCTTTGTCTGCTTCGCAACAAAGGCTGTACATTTGGAAGTAGTTACAGACCTAACAACGGAAGCATTCATTGGAGCATTGAAGAGATTTATCTCTCGGCGAGGAAAATGTCAAACCCTATATTCAGACAACGCGACTAACTTTGTAGGTGCTAAAAATCAGCTCGATGAATTCAATAAGGCTGTCTTTGGGGAGAAAGGCAAAGAAATAATAGCGGAGACGTGCTCAAGAGAAGGGATCGATTTCCAGTTTATTCCCCCAAGAGCACCACATTTTGGTGGCTTATGGGAAGCCGCGGTGAAGTCAGCCAAGCAACTGTTGCTTCGCACCACTAATAGTGCATCATTAACCCACGAAGAGTTGGAAACAGTTGTTATTGAAATAGAAGCAATCCTGAATTCCCGACCGTTGACTCCTATTTCTGACGATCCAAATGATCTAGCTGCATTAACACCTGGTCATTTTCTTGTGGGAGAACCGTTAACGGCACAGGTTGACCCATCAGCGAACCGATCGTCAACATCATTGACAAGCAGATGGAAGGTCGTATCTCAAATTAGGCATGAGTTTTGGAAACGTTGGTCCACGGAGTACTTAAATACTCTGCAAGAAAGAAGGAAATGGAGTACACCATCTCCAAACGTGGAACCTGGTCAATTGGTCATTATTAAGGAAGATAACATGCCTGTAATGCAGTGGCCGCTAGGCAGAATAACCCGAACATATAAGGGCAACGATGGAGCCGTTCGTGTAGTCGACGTAAAGACACAAAACGGCGAAATTAAAAGAGCTATAACCAGATTAGCTCCTTTATGGAAAAAGGAAAAGGAACCTCTTCCGCCTATAGAGACCAAGAGTAGGAGTGAAGAGCCATCTCCAAAGCGATTGAAGACGTCAAGCAGCATGCTAGTATCGATGATGCTTGTGGCTTTACTATTTTTACCTCTATGCTTGTGTCATTCGTTCAACATACACAAGTTTGAGAATAAGCCCGGCATCTATTTGAAGGAATTGGAATCACAAAAGTAGTAACAGCAGAGTGGAAACTGATCACTTATTATGATCTTTCCCCATTTTGGGCAGATATGGATGGCTTTTCTACCGGGATAGGAACCCTTCAGAAGTTGTGTAAGATAGCAGTTGAGAACAGAAGCTGTGAGATACTTTCAGAAAATCTTATTCAAGTACAAAAGCAGTTGGAATCAAATACACTGAACATATTCCCCAGGCGCATCAGGAGAGGAGCTCTAAACATAGTCGGGAACCTCGCACACTCGTTATTTGGTGTCTTGGATTCGGAATATGCGGAGCAAATGACTGTGACAATTGAGAAGGCAAATGAAGACAAGCAACATTTGTTGGATCTTCTAAAAAATCAGACATCTATTATTGATTCAACAATCAACATAATTAGAAAGGACGAAGATACGAGCCAAAGGAACTTCGGCAACATGCAAGTGGAGATGAACCTTTTGGCAAATAAGGTGAAGAAAGAAGAAGATGTTGTAAAGACAACACAATCAATTATGTTTCTCACTTCACAGCTCATGCTACTTTCATCAAGGTTGAAACATATAGAAGATAACTTAATCGACGTTTTAACGGATGCTCATCATGGTCGGATAAGTCCGTTGCTACTTACGCCACATCAATTGCTACAAGAGCTCCAAACCATCAAGGCTCACATTCCTCCATCTCGTGCTCTACCCGTTCGCGAAGATAATGTTTCGGATTTCTTCAAATTAATGAAGAGTAAGGGAAGGGTTATTAAGAACCATATCATATTCGAGATTCGCCTTCCATTAGTGGATCTCCAGCAGTATGATTTATTCAAAATGATCCCCGTACCTATGCTACGATCCGGTCGATTTATTTCAATAGCTTTGAAATCAACATTATTGGCAGCTAACGTCCATCGGGATGAGTTCATATCGCTAACCGCAGAAGAAATGAACAGCTGCATACATACCACAAATGACGTTTTTATTTGCGACAACCAAGCGAAATTTAGCAAAGGCGATCGATCACATTTATGCGAGGTGATTTTCTTATTGAACAAATCGTCAGAAGCGTGCGACTTGCAATCAACCATGCACCACCAAACTTGGAGACAAATGGAACAAAAGAATAAATGGATGTTTACTCTAGCCAATTTAACAGAATTGTCCTTTGTTTGTGGTACAAAAATGACACACCTGGAGGTGCAAGGAGCTGGAACTTTAGAAATTGGGCCAGGCTGCATTTTCAAAGACAACACATTTACAATATACGGTCACTACGAAAACAAAACAACAGTGCACACATCATATCTGAGACTTAAGCCACTGGATTCCATAATCTCAAGCAGTAAGCTTGTCTTGCTCAACAAAACATTAAACAGCACCTATGAAACACATGCTGCTGAACTCGTCACCTTACACCAACAGCTAAAAACTATTGAAATCGGACGCCTTCCACAATTAATGAAATCGACGGCCATTCACCATCATACCATCAGCTATCTAGCTCTTTGCATTGGAATTGGAGTAGCCATATACGTCATTGTCAAGTTTCGGCACCACAGAACTTCCAACAATAACATGAACCCAACACCTACCCCTCGGCAGTCAGTCTCATCATCATACGTCATTGACCAGACAGTTTCTTGAACGTTCCTCGTTCAACGTGGGGGAGAATGTTCAAAAGAACATATTTTACTAACACATTTTTAATTTTGTTTTATTATTATTTTATTCTATGTCAGCATATAACTGACCTATATAATTATTGTTTGCCTTATGCAGGCCAATAGCCTAAATAAAGAAACACCTCGATTGGTTTCACATTGCATGGGTTATTGGCTGAAGTAATTTATTGCTTAGTTAACTTTAAATGCTAGTTTTAATGAATTCAAAAATGTATAAATAGAAAGCAAAAATAAATTTTCTTGGTAGATTACAAGAAATTGTAAACATACCAAGGTTACACAATTCAAGTGTTGTGTATATCTGCTTTAATTAATATTAATAAACAATATTACTTCCGAAATCGGTACGACAGCTTTAATTTCATTTTCTAATATTCCATACATATCTATGCGAATTCGGTCCATTTAGCCATGTAATTAAAAGATTAAACGGTTTGGATCATATTTTTGAAAGAAAATCCAAGTATTTCATTTATCTTCCATTCTAAATTCGATTCTTCCTCCTATACCACTTCTCAAACGTATAAGTGATTTCATATATGTCATATCACTCATACGCATAGATTTCATGCGAACGACAGGTATTGTACGATCAACCAAACTAGTTCCATAGACTCCGGTCGTTTGTATAAAAACTCTGCGTATGATTCACATGAAATCTATGAAATCACTCATACGTTTAGGATATAAACAGCTTGATCCAGCCGAACCTATCGTATTTTTTAAACGTTTATAACTTAAAAAAGAAATTTTAGATATGCTTTTCTATCAAATGAAAATGATACAATTAAATTAAGGTTTTAGACCCTAGGTATCTTTGGGCCAAATCCATTTAAGGACGTTTGGAGTCGGTTTAGCGATGTTCATCCGTCCGTCTGTCTGTCTATGTAGCTGCATGGCTGGTGCGCACAATAACTCTTGAAGGGAGTATCCGATTTGAGTTCGAAGATGGGCAATATCGGTCCACAAAGTCGAAATTTTCAAAAAACAAAAAAAAAAAAAAAAAAAAACAAGTTAAAAAGCAGTAAGTTCGGCCCGGCCGAACGAATTTGGAAATTTTCAAAAAATAAAATCCTTAAAACATTCTGTTAAAATTTTAAAAATACCAAATATAGCCGTTTTATTGGGGTCTATACGACGTGGGCCTACATAGGCATTGTTTGTCATAAGCCATTACCATATTCAAATTCGAAACTTGAAATAGACGGTAAATAATGTAGCTAAAATCATCAAAATATCGTATATAGGAAGGTACCGTTATATCGGAGCTGTGCGAAGACCTTGACCTGCATAGACAGTTTTGTGTCAGAGGCTGTAGCATCCATTACGAACTTCAAATACCACATCTCAAACAATTTCGGTGGGTATTGTACCTAAAATCGTCAAAATACCGAATATAGGGAGGTATTGATATATGAGTCCTATACGAAGACCTGGACCTGCATAGGCAATTTTCTGTCACAAACTGTAGTTCTCATAACGAACTCTAAATACCAAATTTGAAACAATTCCGGTGAATAATGTCGCTAAAATCATCAAAATACCAAATATCGGGAGGCACTGTTATATGGGGGCTATACGAAGACGTGGGCCTGCACAAACAATTTTCTGTCTTAGGTTGTAGTATCCATTTCAAACTTTAAATACCAAATTTGAAACAATTCCGGTCAATAATGTCGCTAAAATCATCCAATTACCGAATACCAGGAGGTACCGTTATATTGGGGCTATATGAAAACGTGGACATACATGGTCCATTTACGAACTTAACCTGCCTACTGGAAAATAAACATGTGTGTAAAATTTTTGCCATCTATCTCAATTCATTCAAAAGATAGCGCGATTACAACAGACAGACGGACATCGCTAAATCGACTTAGAATATTTCGCTGATCAAGAATATATATATATATATTTGGGTCTGACATGAGTATTTCGAGGAGTTGCAAACGGAATGACAAAGTTAATACACCCTCCATAGTATGGTGGAGGGTATAAAACAATATTTTACTGCACAGAAAGAGAAAGGATAATCCGATTTTGATCCAACTTTGCAAATCCTAATAATTGCATTTGTGCTAGGTCAGGTGCGAAAAAATACAATGTCGGTCCACTCCATCATAATTAATCTAACTCTTATAAAATGTAATGTAAGAGTCCGATTGTCTCCAAATTACATAGATCACAATATTCCTCCTCCTTCTGGTACCTATCCCACAAAAGCGTCAACATTTTCAAAATCCGTGAAGATCATAAAACGCGAAATTAACATCCGATTCTATTCAGACTTGACACATCTCAGTATTTCTATCAACACAAAATCTGTTATAAAGATGATAAAGATCAGATCATTCCTTCTGGTACCTCACCCACAAAGGGTCAAAGTTTTGAATAGCCAAAACCATAATAAAATCCGAAAAAAGCTTCCGGTTCTCTTCATATTTCACACATCTCATTATTTCTACTAACACAGTAGAATATATCGGTGAAGATGGAATATATCGGTCCACTCCTTCTGGTACCTCCCCCACAAAGGTTCAAAATTATGAATATTCATAAAGCTCAGAAAACTTGAAATTAACATCCGATTCCATTCAGGTATTGGTACATCGCAATATTTCCCTTAACACAACATCTGCTATAAAGATGGTAGAGATTGGACTATTCCTTCTGGTACCTTCCCCACATAGGGTTCAAGATTTTGAAAAACGCTCAAGGAGCGAAATTAGCATCCAAATCTCTTTAATTTTGATATATACAAATATTTTTGCTAACACAAGATTTGTTGCGAAGATGAGATATATCTGCGAAACCCTTTTGGTACCTCACACACAAAGGGTCACAATTTTCAATTCTTTTATCTGTCATGACTCTGGTTACAACTTTTTTAATTGTAATGAAATATATATTAAAATTAAATTAAATAATAGCTCACACATATCAAAAATGTCACCCTCCAGACAAATATAAATACCTACCTTGGAATTGTTACAAATTTCGCTTCAAATGTGCAGCAGGCATCCTTTCCTCTCACCAAAGAAAAACCCCAAGAAAAAAAATTGCAATTACAACTTCCAAGAATTTCTCATTTTTTGCTCCCTTTTTCCTGCATTGCTACAGTTACAATTGAAGAATAATTTATTAGTTCTTCAACCATTTACAGCGCATTGCTCGTGTGTGAACATTTCGAATGTTCTGGGGATGGGGAAAGAAAAGTTTTCCCCAACTGTAGTTGTATGTCTCTCATTTGACACATTAAAATCCTCTGCATTTTTAAACGAATTATATTTTTGGTTCGAATCCAGTCGCAGTTGGTTGAGTGAATGAATGCCGGGTTGAAAGTTAGTGGATGGATGCTTGAGAACTCCGATGCATGTGGAAACGAAAACGGCGCCCAAGTATTTAATCTCTCACTTGACAAACTGTAACACTATGAAATTGATGAATGCAGGGTGTGAGAGAAAAAAAGTGGAAATAATCTTTTACTTAACATTTATTTTTTCGGTAGTTTTTTTATTTTATTTTGGAGAGTGAACTTTATCACGGTGACATGTGAGAGACACAGACACACTTACATGAGAAATGAACTGTTGGTAAAAACTTTGTAATTGTTGAGGTTAATAGAGGAGAAAAAGTTCAAAATGGCATCAATCCTTTTTGAGGGAAAAATAGTAAGAGACAACAGATAATAGTAATCTAAAACAGGTTCTGAGCCTCACAAAGGGTCTACATTTTGAAAACTTATAACACTCAAAAAACAGTCTTGCTCAGAAATATTCTTGATTCATTCATTTAAGGGAAAAATAGAAAGAGACAACAGATAATAGTAATCTAAAACAGGTTCTGAGCCTCACAAAGGGTCTACATTTTGAAAACTTATAACACTTAAAAAACAGTCTTGCTCAGAAATATTCTTGATCAGCATAAAGTTCTATATCGATTTAGCGATTTCCGTCCATCTGTGGAAATCACCTTAGCTTCCAAACGAAATGAAGTAGGTTTATAAAATTTTACTCAAATGTATATTATATTTGCAGGACTATTGGTATTGAAAATGGACCATGTAGGTCCACGTTTTGGTATAGGCCCCATATCACGCTGCCTCAATATTTGCGGTATTTTGGCGATTTACATTATTCACCAAAATTGTTTAAAATTTGGTATTTGAAGTTCGTAATGGGTACTACAGTCTGTGGCAGAAAATTGTCTGTGCAGGACCACGTCTTCGTATAGCCCCATATATTCGGTATTTTGTTGGTTATAGCGACATTATTCACCGGAATCGTTTTTAATTTGGTATTTGAAGTTCGTAATGGGTACTACAGACTATGACAGGTCCACGTCGTCGTATAGACCCTAATATAACGGATACATTCGGTATTTTTATGATTTGAACAGATTTTATTTTTTTTGAAAATTACTAAATTCGTTCCATATGGTGATGGGTATTTAAAGTTCGGCCCGGTCAGACTTGCAGCTTTTGTACTTGTTTTATCAAAACTTCATACATCGTCCCAAATATATATTAGTCAAGTTTTTCCTGTTTCGGAAAGAATAATAGGAAAATATTTACCTTTTACACCAAAAAGTCTTCAAAACTTTTTTTTTAAGTTTTTTTAAAGTTTTTCCGGCCAAAAGTATTTCAACGTGACCTAAATAATAGGAAAATATTTACCTTTTACACCAAAAAGTCTTCAAAACTTTTTTTTAAGTTTTTTTAAAGTTTTTCCGGCCAAAAGTATTTCAACGTGACCTAAATATTAAAATTCAAAATTCTGGCCTTATCCACTTACTCAAGGGAAAAGATAGTATCATTTAGCCAAATCCACCTCCTTCTCTATGTACCACGAGGGGCTTCCACACCAAGTTTCAGGATTTCAGCTCTATCCCTGTACACAATACCAAATTTATTAGCATTTCGTATAGTTATAGTACGCATTTTCAAAACATTCTCCATATATCTCCAATCTACAACAGTGACCAATCTCCAGGTGAAGGAATATATAATTTCAGGATTACAGCTCTTTAATGTTTTTCTTGTTACCAAATTTAGTACGATTTAGTACAATTATAGTACGCATATCCAAAACCATCTCCTTTTCTCAACCCAAGACAACAACAGTGACATTCATATAAAATTTCAGGATTTCAGCTCTATTCCTTCTCCCATTACCGAGCGTACAATTATAGTACACATTTTCGAAACCACCCCATATGTCCAGGCTCCACACGAACAGCGACTCTGATACCAAATTTCTGATTTCTAGCACTATCTGTTCACCCAATACCAAATTTTATCGAATATAGTACTATTTAGTAGTACAAAAAAGTACGCATTTCCAAAACTTCCTACATACCACAATCCTATACTTCAAATTTCCCAAAACAACCTCCAAACCTCAAACATAGAAATCGGTTCGCCCAAAACGAAATTGTACCAAATTTACTACCATTTAGTACTTTTCGTGAAACTTTCCGTCAGTAATGTCATTTTCAAATTTCAGGATTCCAGCACAATCCGTTCAAATCCCAACAAAAATTTAAATTGTACTAAATTTACACACTTCCAAAACTACATCGACTCTACTACTCAACCTAGATACATATTCCAAATTTTAAGTTTTCATCGTTCACATGTACGAAATGTGGTACCAAATGTAGTACATTTTAGTACTTTACGTGCACTTATAGTACAAATTTCCAAAAACATTTTGGTACATCTATCATATACTCCATCAGCGACCCTCATTTCAAATTTAAGAGTTCTAGCTCTAATGCTTCCTTGAATACAAAGGGTACCATATTTAGTATCTTTTAATACTTTTCGTACCATTCTAGTGCCAATTTCCAAAAACCTTATCTGAAAAGCCTTATCTTATGAAAAAAAGCCTTATCTGACCCCTTTGAACCAGGATTCTGGCTTCAGTCGTTTCGTCTGGGCGTTGATAAATCGTTAAGTCAGTCAATTATTTGAAATAAAATAATATATTTCCCCCCATATATTTATCGTAAAAAAATACACTCCACATTCATCCGATTATTTATATTTATTTTTAAAATGTATCATCGCGACTAATCTTTTCTATTTTTAATAACAATAATTAGTTTTAGTTAATTTAAAAATTCTTTTTGTGTTTCTTTCCTTCACCAAAATAACGATGGCCGACTTGCCGACGATGCCAAGTAGGGTCGATATTTTCCCTGTAACGATGACAAAGCAGCCATTGCATCCCTTAGTAAAATACTGGCACATTGCTTGTATTCCCAAATATTCAGTACCGAATCGACGAGGGCTTCACATTTTGCCAGACCCTGTTTAACCTGTGCCAGAATAACTTCACCTTCCGGCCGGGCTTCGATGGGTAAGTCATATTGAATATACGATTGTGCCGTATTTACGATGGATTGTGAGAATTGTAGGGCTTCCTGAATTTCGGGATCTTGTAGAGCGGTATTATTTGCCGATTGGCCGTTTATAACGTGAGCGGTGAGAAGCTGAAAAATAAAATAAGAGATTAAAAATATAAGTAATTTTTTTTATTTTTATTATATCTCTTGATTATTTTAAAATTTATTAACAACGAGGATTATGAATATTGGAGAGGGTATTAAGAAGATAAATCATATCTCCCCGATAAAGTTGATCTAGCTATGAGTGTTCGACAGTCAGTCAATAATAAAATGCAATCAACCCCGCGCAACAATTGGCAGTTTGGATTCCGATCAGAATATTAAAATATATGGATGATATTGATGTATGAATCGTAATTGAATTTTTGACTTGCAGTCGATCTGAAGGTTTCAATTAAAGTTCGTTCAAGGCGAAAGCTGGTAAAATTTCGAACCGCAGAAAACCGAATACAGAAATCGATGAGTTATTAGTCAAGAACGTGCTGGTAGCTTTGCAATATTTGTTATGATGATTGTTACGGAAAAGCAAAAATATACCGGATTTTTTCAATATCTAATATTTGCAGGGTGAGATAAAAAAAACTTCAACAAATTCAAACGCCAGAATTTCTACATTTTTTTTTAATTTTATTCAATGAAAGCCAAAAATTTCGGAAATAGCATTAAATTTTAGAATAAGTTTAGATTTGTTCGAATCGGTCACCTTTGGCACGAATTATGGCCTTCAAACGGCCAATGAAAACGTCACACGCTGCCCGATTGTTGCACTGCCGTATTTTGGCCTATTCCCGGCGAAGCGCTTGCTTGAGGTGATCGACAATTTGGTATTTTTTAGTGCCAACCTTGCTTTCCAAAATACTCCCGACACAATAATCCAACGGATTGGTATCCGGAGATTTTGGTGGACATTGTGTGCTGGAAATGAAGCGAGGAACCTAATTTTGGAACTTTGTAAATTTGTTGGAATGTACAAGGTCTGCGGCCAAAATGTTTGCGTTCCCAAGGCTTTTATATACCCTTCAGAATATTTTCGGCATTCATATAACGTACTTCCCGATATTCGGTATTTTGACGATTTTAGCGACATTATTTACCGGAATTATTTCAAATTTCGTTTTTGAAAGTCGTAATCGGTACTACAGTCTATAACCAAAAATTTTGTATGTAGGTCTACGTCTTCGTATAGCCCCCATATGACAGTACCTCCCGGTACTCCGTATTTTCAAGATTTTTGCGACATTAATCACCGTTATTGTAACGAATTTCATATTTGAAGTTGGTAATGAGCACTACAACCTATGACAAAAAATTTCGTATGCAGGTCCACGTCTTCGTATAGTCCCTCCCCATACAACGGGTTTCATTTAAGTGGTAGTTTTCGGAATTTTTTGAAAATTTTCAAGTTCCTTCGAGGGTATTAAAAATTCGGCCCGGCCGAACTTAGCTCCTTTTTTACTTGTTGTTTTTTGAAAATCATTTTTAAGTATTTTTGGCAAAAAAAAAAAAGAATTTTCTATGAAAAATTTTAGAGATTTTCTACCATTTTTGTTGGCAAGAAGTCCTCGGAAAAGCATTACAAAAACCCAAGAAAATCTCTTACATTTTTTATAGAAAATTCATTTTTTTTTTTTTGCCAGAAATACTTAAAAATAATTTCAAGGATCTTCTCAGCAAAAATTTCGAATTTATGTGCAAGGATGTCTTGCACTTTTTCGGAAACATTTTCTCAAGGACATCATAGTAAAAAATGTGGATTCCCTACGATTTTTCAAGTTTTTAACTTCGTCCCTTATTTTGCAAGATTTCAACGTCCTGGAAAAAAATGAGAGTCTCGTGGTATTTTAAATCGCCAAGACACCAAAATAATGGATTTGTTGAAAATAATTTCAATATCTTCCAGACAAAATATCGAGTAATTTTCAAGAATATTCATTGCTTTCAATAATTTTTAATAATACTTCATTTTTTGGTCAATCGCTGATCGTATATATCAATCTTCAATTGGCTGATACTTTTTTATTCGATTGTTAAATCAAAACTTAGTCTTTCAATTACAATATCTTTTTTTTTGCGAAAAACACTTACCACACAGAATGCCAATGAAAATATTGTAATTTGCAACATAATGCCGTATTATCGCGATTTCCGCACTTGATTCTTTACTTAGTGGCCGACTTCGTTGAAATGTGGCTGCAGCAACAATTGCCTGTCTCGTTGTTACGTCTTTACAAATCTTCACAACTATTCGTTTTAGATGTTCTGTTTTTTTTGCTGTGATTTGATATTAACTTAAGATTAGATAGCTCAGTCGGTTTTTTATTATGGTAATAGAGCGAGCGAGCGAGTGAGTGGTGAGAAGATCGGCAAGAAGATTTCACTGCACCTGTCCCACATCCAAAGCATTTGCGTCGTGTTTGTGTGTTTGTTTTGGCATCAACGCTCCCTCCCTTCCCCGTTGCCCGCCATCCACGTCGACAATTTAATGGAAGTGAAAAAATGTGACACTTTAAATGTGGGTTTTGTTGGCGTTACTGTTGTTGCTATTTTGTTAATATTCACGTTTACATTATGTCAACTCATACATTTTATGAACAGCGAAAAAGGTGAGAAGGATTTTACGTCGCCGTTTTATTTAATTCAATTATGAGTCAGTCGCCTTATCTAGCGAAACATTGTATAAATATTAAAATTTCATAAATTTATAGAGTTATTATATTTTGTTTTTTTTTTTTTGTATGTAATAAATAATTAAAAGTGAGACAACTTTATCTGAATTAATTTTGTTAGTACTACCTCAAACTGGGGAAAGTTTGGTCTGGGAAAAAATATAACAAAATTATTGGGAAGTGAATGTAATGCAAAACGGCCGGTTTTGGAAATGTAAAAAACGGCAAGGTTCTGTCTTAAAAGTTTTCGGTTTTGATGTACATATAGGGTGTCGATTCGAATTAATGTGTCCAAGAAGTTCACAAAATTACTCTCTAGGAAGTCCTAAAATATATTTAAAAAGTTTACAATTCCTGGCGAAGAAATATTAAAAATTATATTTGTTAAAAATTCTCGATTAATATCCAGGCTCTCCTGATATATATATTTTTTTTACAAAAATCAGCGATTTTTATTCTGGAAATTCTGGAACATATTTTTAAAAACGCCAGGATTTAATAAAAAATATTTTACATAAATCCACGATTCTCGTCCTGTAAATCCTAAAAAATATATTATAAACAATCCAAGGTTTGTATCCAGGAGATCCTGAAATATATTCTTAAACACGATTCTAGGGCAGGAAAATCTAGCATATATATCCTCAAAAATTATTCTAGGGTTGGAAGGTCTAAAAAATGTATATATATTTTGTAAGTCCACGAATCCCGACTGGGAAGTTTTTTGAAAATATTTAATAATTCCATGAATTTCCCTTGAAGTTCTTGAAAAATATTTTTTAAAAACCTATGCTTTTCAAGCAGTTCTCAAAAATATATATTTGAATATCCGAACTTTAAACCAAGAAATGTTTTAAAATATCACAATTCCCACCCAAGAACTTTAAAAAAAAAAATTTCAAAGTATTCCTAAAAAACAAACTGCCAAGTCCACTATGAGAATTTTTGGAAAAAATTTCTCTATTCCTGTACAGGTCCATAAAGTCCAAGAATAATATTTTTAAAAATCGACAATTCTCGACCAGGTAGCGTTTGAAATATATTTAAAAACCCTGATTCTCATTCAGTGTGTCTTAAAAATATATTTCATAAAAAAAATATTCACTGAATGAGAATCAGGGTTTTCCCGACACCAAGACAGGAAAAGCATTTTATACAGTCCACGACTTTTAGTCAATAAGTCCTGAAAATCAATATTTTTAAAAGAGTAAAATAATTAACTGACTTAACGATTCATCAACGCCCAGAAAAAACGGCTGAAGCTAGAATCTTGAACGGTTGGGTTAGGGTAGGGGGATTATGGAAATTCATACAAGAACACTAGAGCTAGTAATCTCAAAATGTACTAAATAAAGAACAATTTGTATTTGAGCTAAACAACAGGAGTGGAATCCTAAAATTTGAGATTGGGATTATTATGAATTAAATTTGGTACAAATTATTAGATTATTACAGAAATTCGAACTTTACAGGGAGAGATGAAACAACTTTAACCAATTTCAGACTGCTGTCATTTCTAAGCCACTCATCCGACAGCTGTTAAAATTATTCCAGTGACAGTTCATTATATTGTTTACAATCGTAGAAAAGCAATCAATAAAATTAAAAAAAAAAAAAAATGTAAAAATTATGGCGTTTGACTTTGTTGCAGTTTTTATATTAAGTTTGTCATTCCGTTTATAACACCTCGATGTCCGTCCGGCTGTTCATGTATCCGTCTGTGGAAATCACTCTAGCTTCCGAATGAATTGATGTAGCTTGATAAACTTTTGCTTAAATGTATGTTATGTCCGCAGGACTTTGGTATTGATAATGGGTCATGTAGGTCCACGTTTTGGTATAGCCACCATATAACGGTACCTCCCGATATTAGGTGTTTTGATGATTTTAACGACATTTTTCACCGGAATAATTTCAAATTTGGTATTTGAAGTTCGTAATGGATACTACAGACTAAGACAGAAAATTGTCTGTGCAGGTCCACGTCTTCGCATAGGTCCCGTATAACGATACCTCCCGATATTCGGTATTTTGATGATTTTAGCGTCCTTTTTCACCAGAATTGTTTCAAATTACATATTTAGAGTTACGTATTTAATGGGAACTACAGTCTGTGACAGAAAATTGTCTATTCAGGTCCAGGTCTTCGTATAGGCCCCATATATCAGTACCTCCCTATATTCGGTATTTTGACGAGTTTAGGTACAATACTCACCGAAATTGTTTGAGATGTTGTATTTGAAGTTCGTAATGTATGCTACAGCCTGTGACAGAAAATTGTCAATACTGGTCCAGGTCTTCGCACAGCTCCGATATAACGGTACCTCTCTATATACGATATTTAGATGATTTTAGCTACATTATTAACCGTTTATTTCAAGTTTCTAATTTGAATATGGCAATGGCTTATGACGAATAATGCCTATGCAGATCCAAGTCGTATACACCCGGTATTTTTAGAATTGTAACAGAATTTTTTAAGGATTTTATTATTTGAAAATTTCCAAATTCGTTCCAAATGGTGGAGGGTATTCAAAGTTCGGCCCGGCCGAACTTACTCCTTTTTAACTTGTTAATTCTACTTTTATAATCTACTGGATGTTTCCTGTATTTACTTTTTGTAATGCACTGTGTATTGAAATTTTCAGACTGATCTCCCATAATTCAAATCTCTTTTTATTTTCTTTTGAATTTTTAATCCATAACCTATCAATTAATCTATGTATGTGCTTCAAGACGATTTGAATTTGATGACATCGATTTCTTGTTAAATCGTCTCAACATTCTCCTCGATATAATGAGAACAAGTCTCAATTCCTTTTTTTCCATTCCATTTCAATTTCTTGGAATATTTCAATATTTTTTGTGTTCGGTGTCAATGAAACAAATTTTTGATAGAACGTTAAGTGAAATGTGCCAAATATACTTGCGAGTATTATTTGCAATATTTCTCTATCATGGGATTAGCCTTGTGTGAGAGAAAGTGTGTGTGTGTGTGTGTGTGTGTGTAAGTAAAGAAGTGGGACAGGAGTGGGAAGAGTATTTGCGTCTCCAAATCATATTTTTCATTTTTAAGCTATTCGAAGAAAAATCCGTATTTGGCAGCTGAGCCACTAAAATGCCATCAACTATTTAATGCAGTTTCCGTTCCGTTTTCATGGACCTCCAAAAACATGGCTGACTGGCTGGCTGGCTGCCTTCCTGAGTGTTCACTTTTGTATGTGAAGCCAATTTGGATGGATTTGCTGCTCAAGTACATAGTTGTGGTTGGTTGTTCAGCTAGCTGGCTGACTGGTGGCTGCCTCATTCCTTTGGTCCGGTGTCAAGTGTTTCCCTGTTCAATTTCGGCGAGAGTGGGCGAATGAGTTGAGTGAGGCACAAAGTGGTTTAGAGGGTCAAACAAAGCAATTTTTTGTTATAGGACGGGCGGGGGTGAGGGCTACCATCGAAGTATGGACGATGATGATGATGACTTAACTGTAGCTAAACTCTTATATTTAGACATTGATGTTGTCGTTTGTCGCGCTACACTTGAAGCTTAGTGACTTTTACTGTCGCTGTCGTGTTGTTGCTGTTCGGTTTTTTGTTTTTTTCTTTGAAAGGAGAACCTCCATAGATTGTTATTGATGCATGAAATTTGGCAATGTTTTGTAAAAAATAATTGCAATTTAAGTGAAATTAAATATGCCATAATTCCTTTATGGACCGTGAAATGTGGTATTATGTTGGAACTCGATAGAGCCTGGAAAGGGTGAAGAAAGTTGGGGCTTAAATTGAAAGGATATTATGTTGATAAAGATTTGTATGTATACCTGCGAATTTTTTCTGCTGCATTAGAGTAATTTGTTAGCAGACCTTTGTAAGGGAACCAATAGGTACGGATAGTTCGCAATGTAACGATAGATTTTCTTCTTATTCTAAGTTAGCTTGCCGGGGTCCTATAGTTCACACAGAAATTTCATTGTTGAAGTAATGTGAGCATAAACCTATAATGCGTTTATTCTAGGCTAAATGAACTTACCCTGCAAGCCTTCGGTTCGATTATGGTCCGGTAAATGATTCTTCGACTTGAGACCAGGATAAGTGCTCGAGACACGGGACAGGGAACCAGAGTTTGATGCTCAGGAGTCGTGATGGTTTATTTAAGACTAAGTGGAACTTACCCTACTAGCCTTTGGCCCGGTGTTAATTCGGAGAATGATTATTCGACCCGAGACCTGGATAAGTACACGGGACAGGGAAGCAGGGTTTGGTCCTGGATAAGGGGTGGTTTTTATGCGAGAGGCCTTGATAAGTATTCAAGCAGAGAGTGAGGGAGGGCAAGACTACGTATACAAGTGATCCAATCCGTGGTACTATAGGAAAACTGCGTATATAAGAGGCCTTAATAAGTACTCTTAAAAAAATGTACAGGGTGAGATAAAAAAAAAACTGCAACAAAGGCAAAAAACAACAAGGCAAAAATTTTATTGAATGAAAACGAAAAATGTCGGAAGTGGCATTAAATTTTAGAATAAGTTTAGATTTGTTGGAATTGGTCACCTTTGGCACGAATTATGGTCTTCAAACGGCCAATGGAACCGTCACACGCTGTCCGAATGTTGCTCTGCGGT